TTACTCCCACAAACAAAGCTGCCTTGGTTATTATCTTTCAGTACAAACGGTTAAATGTGGTTTTCAACACAGTAGCTGCCACAGAAACATAATACATTTAATATCGCAAATATTCAGCAAACCAGCAAAAGGACTCTTCACACGCCACTGACTCATCGAGCATATGATGCTAGATATTTAATTTTATAGACCAGTCAGCAACTTATAGATGGTGTGTATCAACAGCAAGCCAGCTTCTCTACATCTTTTAATAAATACTCAAGGAGAATATAGACTGATGTTCTCATCATTCACCTATAAATAAAATCATATCCATGAGTCTAATTCCCTGATGGTCATTGGTTTTTGTTCATAGACATGTCATTGTTTGTTTGTTGTTAATCTGGCCTACCCTTCTACCAGGGAGTCACCGCAGTTTTGAGGAGATTTTAACTAGAGCCAGGAAGTTTGTACTTTATGACAGGCAAGTGGCTAGCCATTCTGTACAGTGAAACTGGACCATATGGGGTCAAACCCAGTGTAATCAAGTAAATATTCTCGACTTTAACTTTGAACTTAATCATTCTATACCCGAAAACCCACAGTTTAACAAAGACTGTGTACACTTCACACATCGCCAATACTTTTATAAACACTGCAACTATTTTAGCCACAAAATAATAAAGAATCGGCATCACTGCACTAAGGATATTGCCACAGGTGCTCTGGCTCCTTCTTCAATAGCCAACAATAACAACAACAGTAACAAAAACTACCATACTAATAGTGCTAGGTGTAACCTGACCATAAGCAAACCTGCTTCTTTCCTCTGCATATTGAATGTCATCACCCTTTGCTCATTCCTCGCTGAATCTGTCTCTCCAGGTATGTATAATCTGTTCTGTTGCACTAAACAGCCCTCTCCACATCAGCGATATCATAAAGTAGCCTGCTGCTGCAGCAGCTAACTTATCAGTGTACTCATTACCCTGGAAATGTAATGAGGAAATCTGCTTATTTGTCTGTCTGTTACACAACACCCATTAGTAGACAATTCTTTGGAGGTGGCGGAGATGTGGTTTTATAGATGAATAATGAGAATACCCTGCAGAGATAAAAAGAGTAATGGAGATGTTTTTAAAAAAACAGACTCACGAAGAGAACTGATTACCCACATTAGAAAGAGACAATCTAACTGATTACCCACATTAGAAAAAGACAATCTACATTCTTTGGTCGTGGAAGAGAAAAGACACAGACTGGGATCATGAGAGTGAGAAAAGTTGGAGTGAAAAGACACATCATGATTGGAAGAGAAAAGACACAGGTGGTGGGAAAGTTGGAAGAGAAAAGACACAGAGGGAGACCAAGAAAGAAGATGCTGGAAAAATGGACATCATGGGATGGAAGAGCATCTGTGTCAGAATGATTGAATGAACACAAGACAGAAGGTTGTAGACAGAAACGACTACCAACGCCATTTGGTAAGGACTATAAAAAGAATATAACACCTCACTCAAACACCAAAATAGTCTCCTGTGCATTCAAGTGCAACAACATTCTAGTTAAATAATATCAGACTTTAATCAGGGTGTATCCTATCCAGTGACAGCATCTGTTCCTCATCTCTTGGCAAGTGTTTAGACAACTAAAACACAAACTGTTTATGGCTCTGCACATTAAGACAAAGCTGCAGTTTCCTCTGCAGACATGGAAGCCTCTACATCCTCAACTCTCACTGCAACTTTATCACAAATGTCCCCATTGCTTTTAACAAAACTGTAACTAGCCAGCTCAGACTGGCTGCCACTCATTACTGTATTCACAGTGACTACAACTGGGGTAGAAGCTTGCTCTTGTGACTCTGTGAGGATGTGTTGTGTTTCTGCAGTCACGTCCTCAAAGTTTGGCTCTGAGGTAGTCAGTGCTGAAACATCTTCAGGAGAAGATGATGATGATGCTGCCACAGACAAATTCACAAAGTTACCTGAAAAATATCAGCGAATACAAATGATTTAAGAAACAGATCAAAGAGGATTTTTAATGTAATTGACAATTAAGGCTTCTGAGTCACTTGGCCTAAAAATGAGTACCTGAATTGTCTTTGTAAGTAAAGACAGTCAGTCTGATTGGTGACCATATCACCCATCAACACCAATTTGTAAAAATGCCGGTTTAGCATTATATACCCAGTGTGCCACAGGTGTGAAAATGGTGCTTTTCTTACTTGTACTTAATGTGAAAATGGTGCTTTTCTTACTTGTACTTAATGCAGGTCTAAATGCACTAAAGATTATGGCAGCGATGGACATGGAGCAAAGAATGTTGTTCACACTTTACACCACTTAATCATCCCAGTGACTGATTATGGATGGGGGCTACTCACTGTCTCGAAGAGTCAGCTAGAGAAACTAGTGCGCATACAGAATGAAGCTATGCGGCTGATCCTGGAATGTACAAGAGACACCCCGATTGTGTGCATGCGATACATCCTTGCATTGCCGACTGTAGCAGATAGGCTCAAGGTGCTGCAGGCTAAGTCATACCTCAGAGTAGCTGCAGACAGGGAGCACCCTTTGTATGAAGCTAAGGCTGCAGGTAAGGGTCATAGGCTGAAAAAGGGAAAAATCGTGGATGGCTCAAGCAGAAGACACAATAAGGCAAGTATGCATGCTGGAGAACATTGAGCGAGGAGAGGAGTGGGTCAGAGTACTAGAGAAAAAGTCTGACTTCTGTAGGATTATGATCACATAGGGCTGGGTGTGCAGAGAGTGGCCAGTGGGTGCTACGGAGGTTGAAGTCCAACAGTTGATTCACGACAATTTACGCCCAAGTGATCTGATTATCTATACAGATGGTTCGGTGCTGAGAGGTAAAAAAAGTTCCAGGGAGTTCGTAGCTAAAGCCAATGGAAAATCTTTAGTGCAAGACAGCCTAGCATATGACACCACAACATCTAGCATGAAAATGGAGGTGGAGGTGGTAACTGTAGCTCTCCAGTGGCTAGAAAACAAGATGCATACACATGTCATAATTGTAACAGACTGTGAAAGCATGCTGAAAAAGGTGAAGACAGGGATGCTTTGAGCAGAGTGGAAAGCTTCACTGGAAAGGTCATACTTTAGATCTTTTCTCCAGGCCATGCTGGCGTGGTGGGTAATGAACAGGCTGACAGACTGGTTGGATCTGCGCCACATGGGGGGTAAACTAATAAATGACAAGGCAGATGTGGTCAAGGCCATTTGGGAACAAGCAACAGAATCATTAGAAAAAGATTATTATGGCCTGGAGAGAATGAGGCCCCTGGGTGTAACCAGAGGGTCTGGTCAGCTGACTACACTCAGAGGAAAGGCAAGACAGACTTTTTAACCAGACTGTGACCGGTACCATCAGTACTTGAACTCTGCGCTGGTTGCTGAAGATGAGTACGGAGCATGTATGGGAATGCCCCGAGTGCTGTGATGTCAATTCTTGACTCAACTCAACTCAACTTGTACTTAATGTGAAAAGGATGCTTTTCTTGCACTTGTATATAATGTTAAAATTGTGCTTTTCTTATTTGTACTTGACGTGAAAGGGGTGCTTTTCTTTCTTGTACTTAATGTGAAAAGGATGCTTTTCTTGCACTTGTATTTAATGTGAAAGGGGTGCTTTTCTTACTTGTACTTAATGTGAAAGGGGTGCTTTTCTTACTTGTACTTAATGTGAAAGGGGTGCTTTTCTTACTTGTACTTAATGTGAAAGGGGTACTTTTCTTACTTGTACTTAATGTGAAAGGGGTACTTTTCTTGTACTTGTACTTAATTAATGCTTTTCTTTACTTGTGAAAGGGATGCTTTTCTTACTTGTACTTAATGTGATGCTTTTCTTACTTGTACTTAATGTGAAAGGATGCTTTTCTTACTTGTACTTAATGTGAAAGGGTGCTTTTCTTACTTGTACTTAATGTGAAAAGGATGCTTTTCTTACTTGTACTTAATGTGAAAGGGGTGCTTTTCTTACTTGTACTTAATGTGAAAGGATGCTTTTCTTACTTGTACTTAATGTGAAAGGGTGCTTTTCTTACTTGTACTTAATGTGAAAGGGTGCTTTTCTTACTTGTACTTAATGTGAAAAGGGTGCTTTTCTTACTTGTACTTAATGTGAAAAGGGTGCTTTTCTTACTTGTACTTAATGTGAAAAGGGTGATTTTCTTACTTGTACTTGACGTGAAAAGGGTGCTTTTCTTTCTTGTAGTTGATGTGAAAAGGGTGCTTTTCTTACTTGTACTTAAGAGGAACTGATCGATATGTCCCTCTGGGCTACTGCCTAAAGGTTTACCATACCATCCTGAGATAAAAGAATCTCAATCTAGATGGCAGACCCACAAGGCAGAGCCCAAATTCCCTGTTCAACCTCCAAAGAAGTTACAACAAGGGCACCTGTAATGGCTTCATCAGCCAGGTATAACCTACAGTCCTATGTGGGTAATGTTTTATATTAAAAGTACTTAACAAGGATTCTAGAATTCACTGATCACACAGGTAAGGAACAAAAGATTATTAAAAGTGTAATGACACAGGCGTCAGTGGCTTAGGTGTTGCGAACGTGCTTCGTAATGCCGGGGTGCCGGGTTTTATCCCTGCTGCGGATGATTTGCCTTGCACTGGTTTGGACAGTGGTACCGAGAGCTGACCGTTGATGAAATGATACATACCAACAATGAATAATATTACTTATTCATACTTACTAATGGAGACAGTTTGGAGGAGCAGATGGATCAACACAGTCTGGTGAGATTGATGCAGCCGGGAGTGACGAGAGGTTCTGGCAGATGCTCGAGGCTCAGAGGAAAGGCAAGACGGACGTTTAATCAGAATGCTACTGGCACCATTGGTATCGGAACTCTTTGCTGGCTGCTGAAGATGGGGATGGAGCACTTATCGGAATGCCCCGAGTGCTGTGATGTCAGTTATCGAATCAAATCGATCAAAAACTTACTAATGGAGTCATACATATCAACATTGAATAATTTTACTTACTGGCATCAATACTTGATGGAATTATGTGTACAACTGGGGTGACTGGCAATAACATTGACTGGCTGGAAGGAATCAATGGTGAACAGCTAAAAACAGTCTGTGCTTGCTGGTGAAGAGCGTTTTTAGAACTGGTCTCTGTGGGTAGAATCATCAATGTTGTTGAGCCACTTGGTCTCGTGTTGCTGCTGGCTGGCAAACCAGGACATACATCAGACTTCATTTCCTGCTGCTGTGTGTCAATAACCACAACTTCAGAGTCTGGATGGTGAAGACTGGAAACAGCTATGTCTTGCTGTGTTTCGTGTTCTTGAGTAGCCCCTAACAATTTGGAATATAATAACCGAGCATCAGATTCCTTCGTGTACCATTTTCATGTATTTGAAAAGATTTTCTGTACACACACACACACACACACAAATTCAGTCTTCATCTTCAGCATTATGAAAGTAGTCTCTTTCTAGCAGGATGGTATTTCTTCTTGTGGAAGTATTCTCCTTTTGGCAGGTTCTTATCATCTCTTCTTGTGAACCTGTCTCTTTTGGTAGGTTCTAATTATCTCTTCTTGTGAACCTGTCTCTTTTGGTAGGTTCTTATCATCGCTTCTTGTGAACCTGTTTCTTTTGGTAGGTTCTAATCATCTCTTCTTGTGAACCTGTCTCTTTTGGTAGGTTCTAATCATCTCTTCTTGTGAACCTGTCTCTTTTGGTAGGTTCTAATCATCTCTTCTTGTGAACCTGTCTCTTTTGGTAGGTTCTAATCATCTCTTCTTGTGAACCTGTCTCTTTTGGTAGGTTCTAATCATCTCTTCTTATGAACGTGTCTCCTACCGGCAGGTTCTTAACATCCCTATATGTAGAAGAAGTGTCTTTTTGGCAGGTTCTTCTCATCTCTTCTTGTGAAAGTAGTCAGCCAGGTGATTACCATGGTAACTTCAAGTTTATCACGTGGTCTTTTTGTTTACATAAAACATGAGTGTTCTGTTTTATCAATAGGCATCATAAGATAACAGTCAAAAAGATTGAACAATGGTTTTGAGAACATCCTCAAAGACATGAGGACCAACTTACACAATGCATTAGAAGAAGCACATAATGATTCTTACACAACACCCCCCCACCCCCACCCCCCCCCCCCCTTCACTACTCTGCCTAGGTAAAAGAAGAAGAATAAGAAATAACTCAGTGGTTTATGTGGTCAAAGACATGAAGACCAACTTACAAAATGTATTAGGCACAGCACATATATTAATCTTACATCCCCCTCCCAGCCCCAAACACTTTGCTGATGTAATAGAGAAATTGAAAAAATAACTCAATGATTGATGTGGTGGAAGATATGAAAATCAACTTACACAATGCCGTTAGAAACCACAGATCAATTATTCCTACCCCCCCCCCTCCCCACACAACAACAACAACAAAAAAGAAACTTCAAAGAGGGAAATAAAGAAAAAGAAGTAATTCAATGATTGATGTGGTCAACATTGTACCAGCTACCTCTACATCCCTTAAACATTTTCTGAAATCCATTTTAGCCAGGTCAGTTTGTTAACAATCACTGATATAGATCAGTGGTTCTCAAACTTTTTTCATCGTGGTACCCTTGTCAGGCTTAAAAAAATTGCGGCACACCTACCCTTAAAGCGGTTGAATACTTAGGAAAAAAGAAAAAAATAATAATGCAAATTTAATGTTCAGTTGCCTTTAATGTGATAAATGCAACTGTTTGCATGCATTTCTCATTACCCCTGGCATACGATTGTGGCACCCAAGTTTGAGAATCGCTGATATAGAGGATTTAACTGATTTAAGTGTGGACATCACAGCACACTGGGTATACCCACAGATGCTCATTCTCCCCCAGCAAATGTCTTAAGGTGTAGATGATAACTCTTCCCATGGAACACTGATTATACACACATCATTCTCTTTCTCTCATACGCCTGTCCTTGCCGGATCCACTCCTAATTCCTTGTTCCTAATTCCTCGTTACATATGACAGTTCATCTAATCTCATGTCTTCTATCAACATTCGTTCATACAGTCTTCAGAATATCTCCAGTACGAGTGTGCCTGTAGCTACTATTTTTGTGGCCAGAAAATCTGCTTTTTCATTCCCTGGCACTCCTGCAGATCCCAGACAGTATATCCACGTGATTCCCTGGCACTCCTGCAGATGTTGTATATCCCACGTGATTCCCTACTGGCGCTTGGTATTCCATGCACACCACATCCACGTTGTCCCCAATGTTTTCTTGCACACCACATCTTCCGCAGTACCTACTGAGAATCAAACACGATAATTCCTCTGATAACTTTGTTTTTATGCTTTTCACATCAGAGCTGCAGTGACTGCCTCCACCTCCATCCTCATGCTTGCAGGGTAGAATTTTAAAAAAACTCCATTTTGTTCAGCTACAATGTTTCTCTTCATTCTAGCTGAAAATCAGGCATACAATGTTAGGCTCATATCTTTACAGACCAATCGGCACTCTGTTGACAGAAAGCTCCACCCTGGCTATCATTGGGGGAGGGGAGGAGGGAACCGCGGCTAATATAATCTGATGGTTCAACAAGGTTTCTAAGGCTTGCACTCAGTGTATTCTCATCTGAACCGCGGCACTTTGTGTCATCAGGTGTTAGATGCTCACTGTGAGGTCCTGGTGGGGTTGAACATCACTCACTCACTCACTCACTCACTCACTCACTCACTCACTCACTCACTCACTCACTCACTCACTCACTCACTCACTCACTCACTCACTCACTCACTCTGTTGGTGATGGGTGGGTCAGCAACATGCTGGCCACCTTTACTTTCCAGGACATCGCCTGGTACCCATTGTAGGTTGTGTCAACTTAAGAACCAATTTTAAAGGGGCAAAATGTAGCTCGATGCAGAGTCGAATGTAGTGTGGAATTAGCTTTATGCTTAGAATTTTTAAAAAAAAAAAATAAAACACACACACACACGCAAAACAAACAAAATACATCAAACCCTACCCAAAAGATTTACAGATTCGGACTCCTGATTGCAATAAACAATGCTGGAAAAAGTATTATTTGCATAGATGCTATCTGACTGGGCCAGCTCTGCTGCCTGTAGGCCTGGTTGCAGCATGCTCAGTCCTGATGACAGAATATCAGGGGCAGAGAACACAGACAATGCCAGACCGGTGGATGAGTCGATGAGAGTTTCTGTTCTTGTCTGATTGGGAAGTATGTAAGTAGGAATAACTGTGTAGCCCATCATGGATGAGAGAGAATCCAGAGCCTGTGCTTGCTGTTGCTGCTGCTGCTGCTGTTGGTCAGAGTAAGGAAGTGTTATCAGAAATGTTCCACCGTAAAGACCATTTGCGTCTTGTTTCTGAGTCTGTGTTTGTAACAGTAGACTAAGGGTGTTTAGGCCTGAACCGTTTGAATCACATTGTATCTGTAGAAACAAAAGTCATTATGAGTGTCATTTGCAGTGCAATACAGTGTCAATATAAGGTTATTCACATTTCCCAGCTCATCTACACACTTTTCTCAGTCTGATCTAGGTCAGAGGGGTGTCACGTTGTACTGTTTTCTTTGAAAAGAGTCTCTTGTGGGACTTAGGCTCAGGCTGTAGGTAGGGCGTGCATGTGTGTGCAGGTGTGTGTGCGCGCACACATGTGCGTCTCTGTAAGTAGTATAAGAGTGCATAAGTATTGCATTATTTCTGTCATTAACTCTTTGAGTCCCAAGGAGCGCATCATACGTTCATAGATTCATACCTACAAGCCCAATGAACACAAGATGCGCCGATTTTACGTCTCTCTTGACTACCCCTTGGGCCTGTGATGCTTAACCCCCTGGACTCAAACAGTTAAACTCTGCCAGCCCATTGCTATGCTAAGTAGCCAATCAGGCAATACAACTGTTAATCCCCCATGTAAGCAGTCCTAAGAATAGTTCACTTTGAGACGCTCATGAGGTTTTAGTGTTGTGTTTCTCCTCCTTCCGTGTCTGCCTATAAAAAGGTGGTTAACACATTCTAATGTATTAGATCCCTCATGCTTTCTGCTAGTTAACAACTCTTGTAATCTTATCCCACATCATATCTCAGAGAAGCAGATCCTTTACACAAGGGAAATTTAAAAAAAAAAAAAAAAGTTCCTTCCTAACATTCTTTCAGCTGACACCTGTTCCTTCATCATCTTTTCAACTGCTCCCTCCCTCTCTCTCTCTCTCTCTCTCTCTCTCTCTCTCTCTCTCTCTCTCTCTTTCTCTTTCTCTCTCTCTCTCTCCCCTCAGCATGTCCACCAGCATACACATGCATTTGAAGCATAAGGGAGCCAGTTCCCAACACCACGTTGGTCACAGTTGAAAAACATTCCAAATGAAATCCACAACTCACAGTGTGGCACCATACACCCAACTCAACAGCTGGGCGACAAAACTATATCCTTTCAGCCTGCAAATGGAGAAAAATGCAACGGACACTGTCTGTCAAGAACAAAAAATTTGCCATGACTAAACAGTGACCGTGCCTATTGTCCATTTTGCCCTTATTCACATCTATGAATACCTTTCAAGTTAGATTGACATTTAGTACAATGTTCCAACATACAACAGCAGTATGATGTTGTTTCTAAAGATGTAACTGTTCAATCATTTGAAAGGTTTCCATCTGGGTATTGCCAATCCTTTCACAAACTTTTTCAGTAGAGAAACAAGATTATTATGGTCTGGAGAGAATGAGGCACCTGGGTGTAACCAGAGGGTCTGGCCGGCTCACTACACTCAGAGGAAAGGCAAGACGGACTTATAACCAGATTAAGACTGGTACCATCAGTACTGGAACTCTGCACTGGCTGCTGAAGATGAGCATGGAGCACACATGGAAATGCCCCGAGTACTGTGATGTCAATTCTTAACTCAACTTAAACTCAACTGGCTAACTTTGTTACAAAAACATCACTCAAGTTGTTTCAATATTTCATGGCACACTTTATGACAAAGCATACAGGGTAAAAGCTCTCTGAGATCGAACAGTCAGTGCAACAAACCACAGAGAATCCATGCTTTGAAATACTGGGGGAGGGGGTGAGTAGAGCTTCTTGAAGATACTCGACACTGAGGGGAAAACATACACAGACTTTTCATCAGGTTGCAACTGGTACTATTAGCATGCTGACTATTTGCTGGCTACTGAGGAAGGAGACAGAACAAGATGGCAATGTCTCGAGGATAGTGATTTCAATTCTTGATTTATTCTTCCATTCATGGCAAATTGAAATCTAAGAGGTTTTCACCACACCAGCTCATTCACTGATGCTGTCTGCAGGCAGAACAAAAATGCATGCCTGTGCACAAAGGTTCCCCTTCTAAAGGAAGAAGCATCCTTTGCTTGATTTGTTTCTATGGAAAATATAAAGGTCGTATACTTTTTGAAAGGATATCATGGACAAATGTGATAAACAAACTGGGCTGTGGGTGTAAAAAAAAATATTTAAAATCAAGAAACTTAGGTTTAAAGAAACTTTCAAATCCTGCTTAAATAAACAACTTAGGTTTTTAGAAAAGTAAACCGCTTTAAACAAAAAACAACTAGATTTTAATAATAAAATTTGCTAAAATGTAACATTAGACTCAATTTAAAAAAAAAACTGCTGACAGGTTTGTTTTTCTTATTCAGTATTCTAAGCCCCGAGTTTCATTGCCGCAGATATCATCTGCCTCCATTCATCTCTGTGACTGGCTATCTTTTTCCAGTTAGCAACTCCATGTGTTTGTAGGTCTGTTTGTATATTTTCTCTCCACTGTCTTCTTGGTGTGCCTCGTGGTCTACTCCAATTCAACTCTTTTGTAAAAACAGGGTTTTGTCTCTCTGTCATCTTCCATTCTCTCCATATGGCTTAACCATTACAGTCTATTAGTCATAATATTGCCAGTATCAAGTGATGAATTAAAGAGATCATTGTTGCTTCTCACGCTCCATTCTATGTTTGTATCTTTGATAGGTCCGACATTCGTCAAAAGACCCTGTTCTCAAAAGTTTGTAATAAAGAAATTGGTTAACATAACGCAAATCTCCTCAAATAGAGTAGATCACATTTCATTCACAAGTTAGTTGGGCTAGTCGACTTTGCTGAAAGTTACAGGTGTGTCCCGCTCTACTGTTTGCTTTCTGTGTTGTCTTGTATTTATGTTTTCATTCCGAGAAAGAGAATGCCTGTGACATAGGTTGCACCACTCTCTAGGGGGTTAAGGGCAGTTGCTCCATGTTTTTGGAGCGTTAAAAGCACTGGCATGATGAAATATATGACATGTGATATCAGCGGTATCACGATACACCCCTCTGACCTTGTGCGAAGGGCATGAGGCTCAGGAACTACCAATCATAAGTTACCAAGTGTGTATATAGGCATATAACAACAATATAACTTAAGAATCCCAATAAAACCAAGAAATATAACTGACCTGTAACTGACCGCTCTCCTCATTATTATTTGAGACAGTTTCTGCAGACTGAGAAAAATTAGGCAGAATAAATTTTGGAGGCTTCATTTGATTCAGAGGTTGCGTTAACAGCCGCTTAATCTGTGATACTCCAACTTTGGAACCAGAGGCTTTTTCCGGCTGACTAGCTGCATTCTGTGACTTCTTTCTGAGACTTCCTTCTGTTGTTATCTTTACCGGAGAACCCGACTCTAGTTTTACTTGGTCACCAGTGACAGGTTTTGCCTGGTCAAGCTTTTTCTTACTCTTCTTCTCCTTCACAGTAATTTGCTCAGTTTTGACCTAAGGTGAGAAATTAATGAATAGATTATAGCTTTTGTATGCCACAATTATGTCATACATATGCGTTATCATCAATATAAATATACTTTTTTTTTTTTTTTGGGTGACAGTGAAGGTCCTACCTTGCACAGGACTGCAAATTATAACTTTCTCTGGAGGTTGAACAGGGAGTCTGTGATCTGCCTTCAAGCTGATCCTGATACATGCCTTTCTTACACTGTCATGCTCAGTGTCCTGATGCAACTTTATTAAAAATGTCTAAAGTGCTGTCGAAGATCTTGCCCATCTGTGTGGTCATCGAAGTCATGCATCTGCAGACGATTCCTGTTAATCTCTAAAGGGGTGTTGACTGTGTTGAATGGGAAGCTTAACATACAGAGTGTGGTTGAGCAGTCATGTGCAGGATGTGTGGAAAGCTCAACATATGGATGTGTGGTTGATCAGTCATGTGCAGGACGTGTGGGAAGCTCAACATATGGATGTGTGGTTGATCAGTCATGTGCAGGACGTGTGGGAAGCTCAACATACGGATGCGTGGTTGATCAGTCATGTGCAGGACATGTGGGAAGCTCAACATGCAGATGTGTGGTTGATCAGTCATGTGCAGGGCATGTGGGAAGCTCAACATACAGATGTGTGGTTGATCAGTCATGTGCAGGACATGTGGGAAGCTCAACATACAGATGTATGGTTGATCAGTCATGTGCAGGATGTGTGGGAAGCTCAACATACAGATGTGTGGTTGATCAGTCATGTGCAGGATGTGTAGTTAAGCAGTCATGTGCAGGACATGTGGGAAGCTCAACATACGGATGTGTAGTTAAGCAGTCATGTGCTGGATGTGTGGGAAGCTCAACATACGGATGTGTGGTTGAGCAGTGTGCAGGACGCGTGGAAAAGCAGTCATGTGTGTGCAGGATGTGTGTGGAAAGCTCAACATACGGATGTTGCATGAGTGTCATGTTACAGATGTGTGGTTTGAGCAGTCATGTGCACGGATGTGTGGGAAGCAGTCATGTGCAGGATGTGTGGGAAGCTTAACATACGGATGTGTGGTTAATCAGTCATGTGCAGGATGTGTGGGAAGCTCAACATGCAGATTTGTGATTGAGCAGTCATGTGCAGGATGTGTGGAAAGCTCAACATACGGATGTGTGGTTGATCAGTCATGTGCCGGATGTGTGGCTCACATACAGAAGCTCAAGCTCAACATACGGATGTGTAGTAGTCAGTATGTGTGGGCAGTCATGTGCTCAACATACTAGTTAAGATGTGCTGGATGTGTGGGAAGCTCAACATACGGATGTGTGGTTGAGCAGTCATGTGCAGGACATAATGATTCGTTGGGTGAGCCTAGGACAAGAACATCAAGTGTCGGCTCTGCATTTATAGAAGCCTCCTCAGATGGTAGAGAAAAAACCCCTGTTCTGCAGGCTCCCTTGGAGCCTACCATTCTGCATGTGGCTGCCTTGGACACATTCTCTAGAGACAACACTTGTAGACAAAGGAAAAACACACACACCACACACACAAAAAAGGCTACATCATGTCCCAGGAACCAGCTGCGAAGGCTAACCTGGGTAACGAATGCCTGAGAAAGTTAGATGCAACGGCCATCAGAGTTATGATGTAAACAGGCACCACACAAAATATGATGAGTGATGAAGAAGATGAAGATAAACCCAAAACTGTTACTCTGACAGGCAAGCTCCCCTAAAATCTTTAGTATCACTAAAGTTTCCTGTGTACAAGGAACAGTTACAAAAGCCTGAAGCACTAAGAAAAACACAGAATATATAGAACACAAAACTGACCTTCTCTGCAAGGCTGATCATAACTTTGTCTAATGCTTCAGGGTCCATTTCTGGCTCATTTTTGCATATCTGTGGGAATAATCAATATCATCATTATCATCAAGTGTCTTGCTAACTGGTGTGGTTGATCACATCTCTCCAAAATAACCAGTGTCCTTCCTCACGATCTTTATTTTCTTTTTTTTTTTTTGCCAGAGAAATATCTGGAACAATTTTTTGAGCCTGAAAAAAAAAACCTACACAGATGCATGCAAAACTTCAGGAAAAAAAAATCACTCCTTCTTCTATTTGTGATTAAATCCTTGATGTTTACACCATCATACAAGTTCTAACAATAAAGCTGACAATTTATTAAAGTTCCTCTTTGGTTCCATACAGGTGCGAGAAGGGTGCTGACTCACTGGATCAGTAATACCTTCTTAATGGGCTGTATGAGAGGCAGTCCTGCAGGACATAGTCTGCGGTTTGTTCACACAGCCTACTTGGGCACAGTGGCCAACCTCACAAACAAATCCTAGGCATTAGCTCAAGTTTATTATGCCTTGTCTTGATCTCAGTTGGCTAAACCTGACTGCACGGCGACTGGGTGACAAACTCCTTGTGGTCCGGGTTCACTCCCGGGGTAGGCAGAAAAGCCACATTTCTCCCAGATTTAGGGTATCTATCATGGAATCAAGACCAAAGGGTTGCGATATCCATAGTACCGAGCCAAAGGGTAAACAACTCATGACTTCTGGATATTGTGGGGGAAAAAAAGGGAGGGAGCTGTAACAAGGGTCAGTCCTGCAGGACACAGTCTGCAGTTTGTTCACAAAGCCTATTTGGGCAGTGGCCATCTCACAAACAAATACTAGGCACCAGCTGAAGTTTATTACGCCTTGTCCTGAGGTTCAGAACGATGGCCTATCCATGCCTGTAAAGTGAGTGGCAATCATCACTGACTAACCTACACATGTGAAGACTGAGTCAAGAACAAGTCTGCCATAAGCACTATGGCCTCTAAGCTTTAAAACCAAATTTTTCCCTCTACGCACTCAATAACAGACTGCTGGCCACCCTATGTGATGTTCACAGACCTGCCATTAACAAATGAGACTGGTTTTATTATGGCCAAGTTATAAAAACATTATCCCAGAAACAAAGCATGTCATCCAAACAGGCAACATTCCACTGTGATAGGGACAAACTGTTGAATTTGGTAAATACTGATCTTTAGTACCTGATATGTACCCAGGCAACACTTACTTGCTAAACAAAATGGTGGGTTAGTCTGCTGATCTGGCAGCTTTACAAATTAGTCAGATCATAAATGAATGTTGCTTGTTTAGATGACTCAGCTTTGCTTCGTGGATAGGGGTTTTGTCTTGGCCATTAAAAAAATCAGTCTCATTACTTAATAGAGACTGTGTAGAAATTGACCCAACAGGATAGTGAAGATTCATTAAATAAAAATACTTGGTTATTCTAAATACCTTTTCCTCTTTGGTGACAAGTAAAACATACCCATTCATGCATTAATCTAACTAATGGGTAGGTGTTTTTCATACTCTGGTGAAATGCTGTATTGAACAGCAGACTACCTCCTGCAGGACTTTCTCTGAATGCATCAGTTTAGTGATTTTGAGTATTCTTGTTCACTGTAGATTTATGTATGTGCTGATGAAGGCTCTCTAGCTTCAATGTTCACTTGTCCGTTTGTGATATTGTGAAGCAGGCTGGTTCTACTTTTCATCTGGTTTTATATCTTGTCATACTTTGTATTCCTTTTGAATAAGATTTACTTCCTCGGGTTTTTACATTTCCATAGTTTGTACTCAGCTGGAGCATGCTATCCATCATTTTCTTAATTTAATAAATAAATAGCGTCTCATATTATGAACAAATAAATGCTATTTCAGCCTGTGATGCCGTGTGCAGGCTACAATACCCTGAAGATAAGGCCTGAAACTGCCCCAGACATACCTTCTCCATGACCTCCTGAATCTTCTCTTTAGAGTAGCCATGGGTGGCAAGGTGCAGTTTGATGTTTCCTTGAGTAGAACTACGATGCCCACAATCAAAGCATGTAAATGGCTTCTCACCTACAAGAGCCAAAGCAGATATTTTCAGTTTTAAAGTGTGATTATGAGTGTTTATACGCAGGTGGATGCATATATATATATATATATATGTGTGTGTGTGTGTGTATGTTTATGTGTCTCTCTCTCTCTCTCTTGGGTGTCATGTATTGTTAAGTGGTGAGTGTGTGCATGCCTGTGTATATCGTATATTGTGTCAGTATGTGTGTTGTCAGTATGTGTGTTGTCAGTGCGTGCACCCCCATGTAGGTAAGTGTGTTTGTACATGTGTGTTTGCATGTTGTGTGTGTTTTTGCTTGTATATTTAAAGTAAAGGCATGCATTTGCCAGCCATCCAGGCTTTTTTAAATTTTGTATTTACATTCAAACTATACATTTTTATATTAAAAAAAATTATGCTTGATATATGATATACAACTGCCGTGTGAACAATGAGTGTTTGAAGCGGCCGATGTAAGAACGGGCCTGTGTGCATATGTGTGTGACCCTTTAGGGGGAAAAATCTGTGTGCAGTCGTTCATTCGTTCTCTCTCCTCTCTCTCTCTCTCTCTCTCTCTCTCTCTCTCTCTCTCTCTCTCTCTCTCTCTCTCTCTCTCTCTCTCTCTCTCTCTCTCTCTCTCTCAGTACAAAAATAACTCTTCCTCAGTAATCGATGTCTGCTAAGTATTACAGAATAGGTCAGACACACAAAAAGTGTTTCTGAAGTGTTCACTGATCCCCTTACTTTAACCTGAAGGCTGGTTCTTCTGAAAAATATTTCCTTCTAGTTCTGGCTTAATCTGAACAGGTCTGCAAGATATGATCTTTGCTTCCCCACATTTGCAACTGACACTTTCTCAGATCCATCTAGGAAAGGTCTTCTGCAGAGTTTGCTTTGATGCTCTACACTGGAGTTTGCTTTGATGCTCTACACTGGAGTTTGCCTTGATGCTCTACACTGGAGTTTGCTTTGATGCTCTACACTGGAGTTTGCTTTGATGCTCTACACTGGAGTTTGCTTTGATGCTCTACACTGGAGTTTGCTTTGATGCTCTACACTGGAGTTTGCTTTGATGCTCTACACTGGAGTTTGCTTTGATGCTCTACACTGGAGTTTGCCTTGATGCTCTACACTGGAGTTTGCTTTGATGCTCTACACTGGAGTTTGCCTTGATGCTCTACACTGGAGTTTGCCTTGATGCTCTACACTGGAGTTTGCTTTGATGCTCTACACTGGAGTTTGCTTTGATGCTCTACACTGGAGTTTGCTTTGATGCTCTACACTGGAGTTTGCTTTGATGCTCTACACTGGAGTTTGCTTTGATGCTCTACACTGGAGTTTGCTTTGATGCTCTACACTGCTAAGTGGCAGTCTGTGAGAAACATTTGGTGAAGGTGTGATCTGAATTTACAGCATCCTTGTTCAAAGTCCAAAAATTTGGATATGTGCATTTCTCACAAACTTATTAATGCTGTCATACTTTGGTCAATAATTTTTATTTTCATCTCTCCAAATCATCTTTGAAAATTCTTTAAGGTATGTCTTTGCCCCTAAATCTTTGCAATAAATAGGAGAAGTTCCCTCCAGTTTTTGCAAGGTCATCTGCCTTTCCATTTCCAGAGAGTTCCCTAGTCAGTTGATATTATTTGCAGGAAAAGTTCTGTTCTTGTGAGCAGCATTTTAATGTTCTTTATTTCATGGAAGGATATGTTCAGTTTAGAAGATCAGATGACTTGGAGAACTGACTTCGATTGGTGAAGACAGATATTTACTTTTTGTTAGTCCCACTTGAGTTCACACAGTTGCAAGAAGGGCTGTTGTCTTGGGCTGAAGGTAGTGCTGGTTCCTCCTGCACTAACAGGCATATCACTGTAATTATCATCATTAGCTTCCATTTTATTTTGTGAGGAATAGTTAGTGGTCCAGCAATCAACATGTAGCAATGACTCCTGTAACCGTGACCTTACAATGTCTTGAATGTTGTCAATCAATCTCTTTTTTTTTTTTTGTGTTGGGGGGGGGGGGGGGGGGGCACCCTTTTCTTTTTATTTTATTATTATCTAAACAATAATGTATGAATATCAAGAGACAACAGATCAAATGGTTTGGACATGTATCAAGACTACCACAAGATAGTCTACCACAGACAGCCCAGTCACTTAGACTTAATGGAAGCATCTAGAGGTAGATCACGTAAACAATGGATAGATGGAATATCCGAGGCTGTAAATACCAGCATCTACGGAGAACATACCAAGGCGCGCACCCAGTGCCTCTTAAAAACCTGACCCCGAAAGGCAAACTAAAGGACCAGAGAAGAAAAAGAAGGTGTATTAATGGAATGTATGTAAGTAATGAGACCAGAAGGGCAGTATGTAAAAACCTTTGAAACAATGTTTTTTTTTTGTAGTTTTTTTTGTGTGTAAATGAGATTTTATTTGGTGCAGCATCTGTGTTAGAAACTAATGCTGTTGTTGCATTCTGAAAAGATGCACAAACCATTTGATATGATGTTTCGTGAACCTGTCACCCTGAGAAGACCAAATCTTCAGGTTGTGACAGTTGAGTAAATGCTGACATATCACCATGTCAGCAGCGCCCTGTTCTGGACAAGACTGGTTCTATGTGCATCTATGCAGTGTTTAATAGGCCAGGATATGAATATAGTAGCTATAAATAGCATTTATAGGAGTTTCCTTATGATCCCATTGGCTACTTTAAATGTCAAGCTGATGTCAAAATATATTTCCATAAGTCTCAGTGACAGTGACCATGGTGTGACAGCATGAGACACCGGACACATACTGGCTGTGTTTTTTTTTTATGGGCTCCTGGGAATGCATTCCATTTAATTCTTGATTATGTGTTTATTGATTACCCCTTTATATAAAGTAAAGTAAGTAAGTAAAGGACCCTTTTCCAAGCCTTTCAGGCGCATCTGGTATATAGGGCTAAACCTATACTTTACAGACCAACGGCACAAGGCTGATGTGGTCAGCATCACGCCGGCACCACTTTACATATCTTCACATATCTTTATATATCTTTATATATCTTTATATATCTTTATATATCTTTATATATCTTCACATATCTTTATATATCTTTATATATCTTTATATATCTTTATATATCTCTATATATCTTTATATATCTTTATATATCTATCTTTTTCTATATCTTCACATATCTTTATATATCTTTATATATCTTTATACATCTTTATATATCTTTATATATCTTTATATATCTTTATATATCTTGATATATCTTCACATATCTTTATATATCTTTATATATCTTTATATATCTTTATATATCTTTACATATCTTTACATATCTTCACATATCTTCACATATCTTCACATATCTTTATATATCTTTATATATCTTTATATATCTTTATATATCTTTATATATCTTTATATATCTTTATATATCTTTACATATCTTTATATATCTTTACATATCTTCATATATCTTTATATATTTTGAAAGAAATGTAAATATACAGATATATTAAAAAAAATTTACATTATTAGTGACCTGTATAATAAAGTTATTTTTTATAGGATTTTTCCTGGAGTTTCCACAGGTTCCTGATACATTTTTTTTAGCATTCACAGAGTGGAAGGGTTAATGAGTTTGACACAGTGTGAACTTGCTCTCTACAGTAAAAAAAAATTATATTATATATATATATATATATATATATATATATATATATATATATATATATATACTAGAGCTGTACCAAACATTCGCTTTGTATTTGCTTTGGGGCTGAATAGTGGACCTAATAACTATTCGGTATTCGGCCGAATACTTGTGGTTGGGCTGAATATGAAGAATGGTTACCTTACACCTGCTTCTGCATACACTGCCCTAATGCTGACAACATGGAACAATTGATTTTGCTGAAAGCTAATGCTGCTTTCATGCATTAACTAAGCTGTCAGTGACAATTTACAAGTTTAGTTACTTGTTATAATACTTTTATTCCTAGTTTTTAGTTACCACAAACTGACTGAAGGATGCAAAACATAAAATGTTTTTAAATGTTTACTATTCTGTACAACATTTTGTGAAGTAAAAGTTCAGCGTAAATTTGAATTATGAATGTTTCTTAGATTTATTATATACACTATCCGTATCCAGCTGAAAAGTTAGTCCCATTATTTGTATTCGGCCAAATAGTGATAGTCGCCTATTCTGAACAGCTCTAATATACACACACACACACCTGATGAGTTTTTCTGTCAAAACCCATATTCTCCTTTCCTAACAGTTCTATGTAGGCAGATGAAGAAAACTTGCTTACCCGTATGTGATCTTACATGAACCTTCAGATGTGTCCAGGTTTTGAAAGATTTTCCACAGGCTTTGCACTGATGCTTTCGAATGTCTGAGTGTTTATGGAAGATGTGACTGTTGAGGCTGTTTCTCATCTTAAAGCTCTGACACAGAATTACAATAAAAATATGTTAAATTCATTCATAATCAGCTACCAAAAAATGTGACTCAATGTGAAGTCGATCAAAAGAGTCCTTTTGTGGTTTCCACGGCCTAAATTTCTTCTGGAGGTGGAGGATGTGGGGGGGGGGGGGGGGGGGGGGAATAAACCCACTGCCCTAATAAGCATGCTGTAAAGGTTAAAAGTTGAGAGGATTAACTTCACAGCACAGGGTTTTCTATCATACGACTCGGTCTCTCTGGACAAAACGGCTAGCCACCTGCTGGAAGAATCGCTCAGAGCACGAACTCCCCAGTTCTGGCGACGATCCCCAGGGATCTCCGTGAAAATTACACTCATGAACTATGCGACGCAGCCGTGAAACAAACCCACGACCTTCAAACAGCTTGACCACTTCGCCACAGAGACCCCCCCCCCTTCCATGTTGTAAAAGGTGACTAATTAGGGGTGTTTCCTTCAAAGTCGGCATGCATCTGCCTGAGAAACAAAAACCAACAGTCTGCATACAAATATGCTAGATCAGTAGAAGGACTAGAAAGCTCAAATAGGGAAAAGGAAGAAACTCATAGAGAAACAATCTAATGTTTCAGCTGAAGCTTTTTATCAAAAAGCACCACAAAACATGACTCCCCTGTGTAGAGACTGGTATCTAGGATACTTTTTCTTCTCCTTCTGCTGTGCAGCTAGCTTAACAGAAACTTCAGTCAAAACACTTGATTATATCTGTGTGTTTGTTCCCTTCCCCCTTGCTGAGCCTCCTAGTCACAGTTCAGTGTTTTCACTGTTTTATGCTAGCTCCACTGCAGTCACCTCTATCTGCATCACTGTTGGACATAACTGCTTACTACTGGTGCGGCTATTGGGGAAAGCAGATCAGCAATGAAATCAGCTGGTATTCTTAATGTAGTCAGTGAGGCAGGGTGACTAAAAGAAGCAAGTGATAGCAAGAGAATCAGCAAACTTTACCAGGCTTGGAAAAAAAATGGCAGGACAAAAGAATTGAAAGTATCAATATGCTGTGAGGATAATCTGGTTAGATAGGTCTAACATTCACGTTGTTTCCACACACGCACGCACGTATGCATGCACACACACACAATTTGAAAAATCATCAGCTAACACTAACCAAACAAACAATAACCACAAATGAACAACTAACTAAATATGTTGTTGTTTGTCCATTACAGGTGAGGATGACCAGTCCTATTATTGATTGGTGACTGGATTATGTTTTGTGAGTGCGCAGATGGCTGATAAGGCCAATTCTAGCACTGAAAGTTCTTGAGCAATGTGGACAGGGAATTAAGGTTGCATCTTTCTGGTGATCTGCTTCAGTGTCTTTCCTGGCTTGTCTTTTCTGAATTGCTGCTGCAGTTCCAGCAGCTTCATGGGCCACAGCTCCTCAATGAAGAGAGGAGCACCAGGATGAGTGGTCACATGCAACAACTTTCGGAGGTTTAGTATCAATATAAGAGTTTTTCAGTGAGGTTTTGAGGTTGTCCTTGAAATGTTTCTTCTGTCCACCTTGAAAGCGTTCTCCTTTTTGTAGCCCACTATAGACAATTCTTTTTAGCAGACAGTGGTCAGGCTTGTGGACTATATGACCTGCCAAGTAATGCTGTGATTGTTTTAGAATTAAGTGAATATTGGGCAGTCCAGCTCTGTCAAGGACTGCCAAACAGCCAATTACTGACTTTATTATACCACTTTCGTGGCGTAGGCAGGGGGGTCTTTGAGCCCGAGGATTTACGGCCGCATGGCTAGTGCTGACACCACAACTGTGCAGGTAAGGATTTTATTTTGTCCCCGACAGAAAAAATCCATACCCTTAACAAGGAGTCGAACCCGGGTCTCCCGCTTGAAAGCCCATCATTCCAAGCATTCCACAAGCCACTCCTCATCTGTCAAGGAATTCAGTAACCACATTAAAAAAATAAACACGTGCACACACAAAGAAACAAATGAACAAAAATGCAGTCAGAAGGCACTCACCTGCCCACAGTGCCAGCAAACGAAGCAGTGGCTGTCATCATGGCTCATCATATGCTCCTTCAGCTGGAACTTGTTGAAGCATTCCTTGCCACAGATTTCACACCGCTCTGTGCTCCAGCCCACAGGCAGTGGCACCCCATGTTTGAAGTATTTATGAAGATGCATGTAATGATAACTGCGATCTTTGGTTCGGTACCCACATACATCACAAGCCTGCATGAATAGCATACAAATAAATTACACAGTATGAGACAACTTCTAATGTATATTAGAGTTTGGCTGTTAAAATGGCTCAATAACATGTAGTTAAATTAGAAAACCAAAAGAATGTTCACAAAGAGACATTTATGGTTGTACTCACTCCAATCACAGGCGATGAGAAATATTGTATATATGACAGTCACAGCAAAAGATCATAAATTGTGGTGTATAAGTAGAGTTTTTAAGCCTAAAAATGCTTTCCAAAATTCACGGTCAACTTATATGGTATGTATACAATATAAAACTGTAGTAAACAAGGGTGACAGCACTCATAACAATCACCGAACACCATCTGCCATACCTCGAGCAGACAACCACAAATATATCCCACAAAAACTTGATGAACATATTTGGTAAATGAACACGACAATGAATATAAAATAATAATACAGTAACACAAATTCAGTATTCTATTACGGATATTGTCTCAATATACAGGTGATTGATGTGACCCTCTGTAGTTTTGGAACAGGCTGTCATAAACCATAGCCTAACTTTATTTACTGCTGGGTCATTGACGCCTAACTCAACATTTTGAGCTACAGATCTTGAGGGGGTCTTGTACCCCAGGTCAACTTGTATGCAGCAAAATACTGTAACTTTAATTATGACAAAATAGATGTCCCGGCTGAGGCTACTTTTCGCTGAGACCCTTCATTTGAACAGTGCTTGAAATCTAGAAACTTTTTATTTCCACCATCTTTACCTCCTTGTCTCAGTCTAGAGCTCTTCCCAAGTAAATATAAACGACTGCCTCGCTGTCCACCATCACGTCAGCAACTCTTTATTACAATGATACACATCAGTTACTGCTCTCACATGATGGCAACACAAGCAATCATCTCTGCTTGAGACTGCTACAAAACCTCCAACTGGCTTTTGGCTATGTTTTTGTTTTATAAATCTTGAAGCTTGCACAAACAAAGTAAACATGTATATGACGGCTGTCAGATGTGAACTGTTTTGAACTTTTACGCACCTGTAACATTCAATCACCTCACATGCTCTGCTGTCTTATCCTAACACAAATCTGGGAACTGTCTGATTTCATGAGGCAATGTGGGTCAGTCTATTTATTTTATCATAACATTCAGCTGCCTTGCAATTGCTGTCATCTTGTCTCAATAGAACTCCCCGTGTGGGTTCTGGGGTCCCATTATGAGGAAAACCAAAATAGACCCTTCCCAATAAGCATGTCGTAAAAGTCACGACTAATTGGGAACTTCCATCAAAGTCGAAGTGCATCTGCCTGAGAGGCAAGGAACCAATAATCTGCATACAAATAAGTCAGATATGTAAAACATCTGTGCACACAAAAATGAGTTCTGGAACAAGTCTAAAGTCTAGAGGTAGTTGAGCAACCAGAACTTTCCGCTGGAGTTTACCGCAATAAAGAAGAAGTCTTAACAGAACTTTGTGACCTGTCTGGTATTATGACTCATCGTGGGTCATCGTCTGCTTACATGCTTCTTTCTTTCCCTATAGTGACCTAGCCCCAATAACGGATGTAAATTTTTTTTTTATTTCAAAGCTCCTCCCCGGATGTAGCTGGAGGCCCTAATATAAAACCTAATTACTGAACAGGGTTTCTAGGACGTACCCGGGTGATTCACATCAGAACATTGGCATTTTGTGTCACCAGATGTTTATTGCTTATTGTGCGGTCCTATTGGGCCCGAACGCCACTCATTTTTTTCTCTAATTTACCTTATGTGGCTATTCCTTTTAATCTTAACCTCTCAGTGTATGCTAATGTGGCTCACAAAACACATTTTTGACCAACTAGTAATGGATATAGAAACACAAATTTGTATTTAAAGACAAGAGGACATTACTTCATCATAAGGAGTTTAATCCAATATTTCTCTCATCGCTAGGCGTTTTATCCAATATTTCTCTCATCATAAGGAGTTTTATTCAATATTTCTCTCATCGCTAGGCGTTTTATCCAATATTTCTCTCATCGTAAGGAGTTTTATCCAATATTTCTCTCATCATAAGGAGCTTTATCCAATATTTTTCTCATCACAAGGAGTTTTATCCAATATTTCTCTCATCTCAGGGAGTTTTATCCAATATTTCTCTCATCGTAAGGAGTTTTATCCAATATTTCTCTCATCCCAACGAGTTTTATCCAATATTTCTCTCATCGCAAGGAGTTTTATCCAATATTTCTCTCATCACAAGGAGTTTTATCCAATATTTCTCTCATCTCAGGGAGTTTTATCCAATATTTCTCTCATCGTAAGGAGTTTTATCCAATATTTCTCTCATCCCAACGAGTTTTATCCAATATTTCTCTCATCGCAAGGAGTTTTATCCAATATTTCTCTTACTGCAAGGGGTTTTCTCCAAAACTCCCATCTAAAGGGGTTTTATCCAATATTTCTCTCATCTCAGGGAGTTTTATCCAATATTTCTCTCATCGTACGGAGTTTTATCCAATATTTCTCTCATCTCAGGGAGTTTTATCCAATATTTCTCTTACTGCAAGGGGTTTTCTCCAAAACTCCCATCTAAAGGGGTTTTATCCAATATTTCTCTCATCTCAGGGAGTTTTATCCAATATTTCTCTCATCGTAAGGAGTTTTATCCAATATTTCTCTCATCCCAACGAGTTTTATCCAATATTTCTCTCATCGCAAGGAGTTTTATCCAATATTTCTCTTACTGCAAGGGGTTTTCTCCAAAACTCCCATCTAAAGGGGTTTTATCCCTTTTTCTCTGTCCCAACTAACTAGTTGGTCACCTGTCAAAAGCATCAAACAAAGCAAGAAACTGTGTTATTTGACTCTTACTTGACTAGAGAATTCTATAAACATGTAAAAATCATGAGAGAAAGAGACATAAGCTACAACCCAACAACTATCATCAACAACAAGAGAGGCATACCTCTATTTAGTCCACAACAGAGGTTGGCAAGATGTACAGAGTATTTTCAAGAACTTCTCAACCCCACAGGCAACGTAGATAATTTCAACTTTTTACCTCGAAGCTGCGAACAAGCGGAACCAAATTTCATAGTAGCGGAAGTAAGAGCAGTTATACAGAACAGCCCTAGAAACAAGGCACCAGGTCTGGATGGAATTAATACAGAAGGGATCCAAGCATGCGGTGTTAAATGGCTTACTATAATTTTTAATATAGCTTGGGAAGAAAGAAAAGTCCTAGGTGAGTGGCAACAGGCATTAATAGTACCGTTATGGAAAAACAAAGGTAATAAGAGAGAAAGTGAAGCATACAGAGGTATATCACTACTGAGTCACGTAGGAAAAATGTACGCCAAATTACAAGAAGAGAGAGTTAGACCCATAGCTGAACAACAGCTGAGTGCATCACAATTCAGTTTGAGAAAAGGCAGAGGATGCACAGATGCATTATTCACTCTGAGGCAAGTGTGCGAGTATAATACCAAACAGAATATCGTGTTTGTAGATCAGGAAAAGGCTTTTGATAGAGTGGAAGGAAACAAACTGTGGTCTGTTCTTGAGAACTATGGGGTACAAGGACAGTCACTAGAGAACATCATAGCCATATACCACACAAGCTAAAGTGCAATAAGAACAAAAGAAGTCATATCAGATATGTTTACGGTGAACACAGGTGTGAGACAGGGATGTGTGCTCTCCCCACTTTTATTTAACTTCTATGTAGACTGAATATCAAGAAGTAAGCTCTGATACAGACAACATAGACCTTTATAATCATGAGGAAGTACACACATCAGGAGAAGTTATCGATTCACCCACATTAAACGAACTAGTATTTGCTGACGACCAGTGCTTGTTCTACTCTGAAAAAGATAGACTGTAAGACCACATTAACAGGTTAAACTCAGGATGCAGTAAATACAACATGAAGATCAATGTAAACAAAACCGAAACAATGCAAGTTAGTAGAACCCCTGCCCCACTACACATACAGCTGAATGGTTCTGCTCTGAATCAAGTTAGGGAATTTAAATATCTACGAAGTATGATCAAAGAAGATGGTAGAATTGACAGAGAAATAGAAACCAGATGTTAGAAAGCAAGTGCACTTACATACCAATTGTCACCATAATTAAGACATCCAAGCATAACTATGAGTGCAAAGAGACAGATCATTTATAGCATATTCATTCCAACATTAAGCTACCAGTGCCAAACATGGACACTATCTAAAGCCCATATACGCAAAATAACCACCTGCGAGATGAGGTGCCTGAGAAAAGCAGCCAACCTAACCATCCTAGATCGAGTGAATAATGAAACTATCAGGCAAAATGTGGGAAGGACATTTTGTACTAGATTCATTGAGAAACAGCAGATCAAGTGGTATGGCCATCTCATTAGAATGCAGCAAGATCAAATACCATCACAAGTACTACATCTCAGAAGATCAGCTACACGAGCAAGAGGACGGCCGTGGAAACTATAGATCGACAACATTAAAGACACTCTACGCCTTCACGGCATGACAATAGCCAGTGGCAGCCAATGTGCACTGGATCGCAAAATTATTCCTTCCCACGAAGCTTAACGGCAGAAGTGGTTTATGATGATGATGATGATGACTTGACCTCTACCCCTACAAGGATCATGACATACATATTTACCACTCTTTATTTGTCTTACCTCTTGGTCAACTTCCTTTTCTCCGATGGTAATATTCTCCAAAGCGTTTTCTTGACTCATGCTATGTGAATTCATATGCCTGACTGTACGTCGTGCACTCCTCATTTTAGTATGACAAAGCTTGCAAGAAAACTGCCTGGTTTTCAGATTCATTGTTTTAGCCAGCTCCTCCAGCATTAAAGTCATCTTTGTCTCCATGGTAACCTCCAGTTCGGACAGAGGAAGGACATCGACATCAGCCTTGATGCTTCTTGGAGACCTCTTTTTAATGCCTTCCCCTGATTTCTTTTTGCAATATTTAAAATGTGAATTAAATACATGGCTAAAATCAACTAAAAAAAATGAATAATAAACTACGAACATTCATTAACTGGTGCCTGTGCAGAAAGAAAAAAGCTACTGTGTAAACTTTACAGGACTTTGCAGAACCAACCACAGCATTTTTTGGCTGTTGTGATTTTTTTCTAGGCAAATTTACGTCCAGTAGTTTGCCACAGGCTTTCTATATGGTTGGCTTCTCGATACCACTGCCGAAACCAACGCAAGGCTCAAGGCCTCCAGCTGGGATCAAACCCTGCACCCCGGCATTACAATATGTGTTCGCAAAGCCTAAGGCACAGACGCTGACTATGAAGACAAGCAGGAATTAAATTAGATGTTATCACAGAATCAATAATGTGGGCAGCTTCTGAAATGAACTAAACAAATTCTAGTGAATCAAGAAGTGAGAAAAAGATGCTGCTGTTGAAACAGGATGTATGGATTGGACACACTTTGAGAAAACCTTTTAACAATGTATAACTAGAGTTGTTTTTTTGCACTGAAACCCTCTTGGGGTTAAAGGCAGACCAGAAACAGATGGGGGAAAAAATTCAAGTGAAAATGAAATGGAGGACATGGGGTGAGGTGAATGCAGTGACAAGAGATAGGAGTACTTGATATGAGTTAACTAAAGGCCCATGCTCCAATGGGGGACAAAAAAAAAGAAAAAAAAAATAACAATATCAACTAGTGCTATAGGTAAAAATATAAAAGTAATTTAAGAGCAAATAATTCTACAGGGATATCTTCTTCTTCTTTGTTCACTGGCTGTAAGTTCTGGGGAAAAGTCCTGGTTGTTTTTCCATTTTAGCGTTGTGCCAGGTCCTGAGTTTTCTGTGTACATACATGTTGCTGGCTTATTTGTGTGCAGGTTTTTGCTCCTTGCCGCTCTAGACGATGCACTCCGACTTCAAAGAAGGCACCCAGTTAGTCGACTCTTAAGACATGCTTGTTGGGCAGGCAGTGTGTCTATTCTTGTCTTTGCCATAATAGAGCCCCAGAACCTACTCAAGGAACGGGATATGAAGTGGTAAATTTGCACATACACTATGCACTGCATTATGTAGCAAGTTGACCGTTTCCCCTTATACTATTTTTTTTCTTTCCGAAGGTATTTCTACTTCCCATTTAAGAAAACTTAGGAGTAGATTTACAAATGTAGACAGGATCTCTGGTGGCAAATATTACAATGCTGGCTGTGGAGCTTCAAACATACACAGATTTGAACAATGAAGACACAAGCAGTACTCATCTTCTTCTTCGTCATCTTCTTCTTCTTCTTTATGTTCCTCCAACAGAAAGTTCTGGTTGTTTGTCCACCTCTGGACTTTGGTCTTGTTTCAGAACTTATGTGATGCATGCACATCTGTTCTTTTGTTTCCAGATCTGTCTTATTTGTTTGCAGATCTGTCTTATTTGTTTCCAGATCTGTCTTATTTGTTTGCAGATCTGTCTTATTTGTTTGCAGATCTGTCTTATTTGTTTGCAGATCTGTCTTATTTGTTTGCAGATCTGTCTTATTTGTTTGCAGATCTGTCTTATTTGTTTGCAGATCTGTCTTATTTGTTTCCAGATCTGTCTTATTTGTTTCCAGATCTGTCTTATTTGTTTCCAGATCTGTCTTATTTGTTTGCAGATCTCTCTTATTTGTTTGCAGATCTGTCTTATTTGTTTGCAGATCTCTCTTATTTGTTTGCAGATCTGTCTTATTTGTTTGCAGATCTGTCTTATTTGTCTGCAGATCTGTCTTATTTGTTTGCAGATCTGTCTTATTTGTCTGCAGATCTGTCTTATTTGTTTGCAGATCTGTCTTATTTGTTTGCAGATCTGTCTTATTTGTTTGCAGATCTCTCTTATTTGTTTGCAGATCTGTCTTATTTGTTTGCAGATCTGTCTTATTTGTTTGCAGATCTGTCTTATTTGTTTGCAGATCTGTCTTATTTGTTTGCAGATCTGTCTTATTTGTTTCCAGATCTGTCTTATTTGTTTGCAGATCTGTCTTATTTGTTTGCAGATCTGTCTTATTTGTTTGCAGATCTGTCTTATTTGTTTGCAGATCTGTCTTATTTGTTTTGCAGATCTGTCTTATTTGTTTGCAGATCTGTCTTATTTGTTTGCAGATCTGTCTTATTTGTTTGCAGATCTGTCTTATTTGTTTGCAGATCTGTCTTATTTGTTTGCAGATCTGTCTTATTTGTTTCCAGATCTGTCTTATTTGTTTGCAGATTTGTCTTATTTGTTTCCAGATCTGTCTTATTTGTTTGCAGATCTGTCTTATTTGTTTGCAGATCTCTCTTATTTGTTTGCAGATCTCTCTTATTTGTTTGCAGATCTGTCTTATTTGTTTGCAGATCTGTCTTATTTGTTTGCAGATCTGTCTTATTTGTTTGCAGATCTGTCTTATTTGTTTGCAGATCTGTCTTATTTGTTTGCAGATCTGTCTTATTTGTTTGCAGATCTGTCTTATTTGTTTGCAGATCTGTCTTATTTGTTTGCAGATCTGTCTTATTTGTTTGCAGATCTGTCTTATTTGTTTGCAGATCTGTCTTATTTGTTTGCAGATCTGTCTTATTTGTTTGCAGATCTGTCTTATTTGTTTGCAGATCTGTCTTATTTGTTTGCAGATCTGTCTTATTTGTTTGCAGATCTGTCTTATTTGTTTCCAGATCTGTCTTATTTGTTTGCAGATCTGTCTTATTTGTTTGCAGATCTGTCTTATTTGTTTGCAGATCTGTCTTATTTGTTTGCAGATCTGTCTTATTTGTTTGCAGATCTGTCTTATTTGTTTCCAGATCTGTCTTATTTGTTTGCAGACTGGTTCCTTGCCTCTGAGGCAGATGCCCTCCGACTTCAAACCATGCCCCTATTTGTCGACTCCTATGATGCATGTGTTGGGGAAGGGAGGCAATGGGTCTATTCTTGCTTCCCCGAAAATATGGTCCTGGAGCCACAGCGAAGAGAAACAATACTGTTTCAAATTCTGGGCTATCCTCGGAATAATGGCCACTTATTATGGCGGCCAAAAACAGGGCCTCAGTCACATGAAAACTGGGGACTTCCGGCGACTATACCGCCACTACCGAGAGTATCTCCCGCGCCGCTACGAGCAGTGCAGGGCTAAACTAATGGCTGCAGGAGATGTGGTTTAAATACACCTGCTTCTAAATATGGTTTTTTGTGGAGTGTTAGTCCCCTTTGAAATGTGTTTAATAAAAAAATTTAAAAAGACACAATACTACTGCGCTTTTTTCAGAAGGAATGGTAAAAAAAAGATTATGATGATCTGATTTGATCTAAACTAATATCTCTTAAGCTTAGCAAATATTCACACGCTGAAGTAAAGTGCTCACCTTCATTTCTGATTCCAGAGTCTCTCCTTTTGAGTAAGTGGATTCACAACTTGTATGAAACTTTGAATTACAGACATCCTTATCTACAACTCTTCCACTGTCACCTTCACCTTCTATTCTCAGAGTGTCTCTGTGCCTGTCTGGCTCTCCTGCCCTCAGCAGCTCCAATTCCATCTTTGCTCTTTTTTTCGGAGGTGGTCTCACCCTGGAGAGGGCCTCTTCATTCTCCGAGAACATATTTTTTTTCTGCTTGGACCTGATCCCGCCTCCTTCTGTATCACTACCAGCAGCTTTTCTTGGTCTGGATTTGGCTCCACCTCCTTCTGTATCACTACAAGCAGCTTTTCTTGGTCTGGATTTGGTTCCACCTTCCTCTGTATCACTACCAGCAGCTTTTCTTGGTCTGGATTTGGTTCCACCTTCCTCTGTATCACTCATGGCAGGCTTTCGTGATCGGGGTTTGACTACAGTACCTTCTGATTCACTCAACTGCAGCTTTTTCAACTTAGGCTTCACTGATGTACTCTCACTATCTACAAGTGCAGGTTTCCTAGAGAATTATAAATGTAAAAATTGTGTTTTTAACGTGAACAAAACAAACTGCTCAGGATTTTTATTATTATATAAAGTAATAGATTACTCCACTAACTAGCTAATCCTCTATAACTGCAGGTGGATAAAGAGTACTGGCTTCTGCTAAGAAACAGACAGGTACGCAGACAGGTACGCAGACAGGTACGCAGACAGGTACGCAGACAGGTACGCAGACAGGTACGCAGACAGGTACGCAGACAGGTACGCAGACATGATATGAATGGTATGGGTATTAAGGTGGATTCACAGGCACAGGTTGATGGACTGGAAAAATCAGGAAGGGAAAAAGCGCCTAAGAAGACAATGGTTACAAAAAAGGGTTAAGAGCTGAGAGACTAATATTGAATGTTGAACTGAGAATCGACATCACAGCAGTCTGGACACTCTCATAAGTGCTCAGTCTCCATCTTTAGCAGCAAGCAAAGAGTTCCAATTTCGATGGTACCAGTAACAGTCTGATTGTATATCCGTCTCATCCTTTCTCTAAGTGGTGAGCATCGGCCAGATCCCCTGGTGCAGAGCCAGCCAGTCTATCTGCCTGCTCATTTCCCAACACACCGGCATGACAAGGTGAAAATATCCAAAGGTTGCTAACTACCTGGGACCTCTGAAGTGATACTTGCCACTGCACGAAGCATGCCTGTTTTCACCTTTCTCTTGATATGGTAAGCCTTCCAAGTCCGTAATCAATCACCGACAGGATCAGATGCTGGAACATTGTGAACAGCATTCTTTGTTCCATGTCCATTGGTGACATAATCTTGAGAGCACTGAGTCCTTTTTGGCATTTCACCGCAACTGCCTCCACGTGGGCTGAGAGACTAAGAATAAACAAGTAAAACACATGCGATGGCAATAATGGTTGGTCATCAAATCCCATGCACTTATTGTGCTTTCTTTATTGGTTCTTGCCTGTCACACTTGCAATTGCCTGTCTATTGTTCTTAGCCTTTACTGGCTGCAAATTCTGACGGAAAGTTCTGGTTGTTTGTGTATTTTTGGACTCGGGTATTATTCACGAACTTAAGTTTTGCATGCATATGTAGTAGTTCTTGACAAACCTCACATTGTTTCCAAAGGCAGAGAATAAAATAAATATATAAATGATATGATAAGTATGTTATTTCGTAAGTTACTTAATTTGGCATCTGTCTGTCTTTTCTGACAAAAGTATTGCATATATAGAAAAGCATTGAAATCACAGCCCATTATATTCCTCATAATAGGTTCTGGGGACCAGGAGTGGGAAGGGAAGGGGGGGGGGGGGGGGTCTACACAGTTTTATGCTCATGGGACACTGACTTGCCAAGTGGGATGGGATGAACCTAGTTTAATCCTCCCTAAAACTGTGGCTGACCTAGCAAACCGGCAGCGGATTATATATTGTTTGAAAGGAAACAAATGTGAAATAAACTGCACCTCCCTGCATAGTAAGGTCAGAACAAAGCACAGAAACTGCTACCTCACAGAAATCTGTAACTGTGGAATCTTGAACAAGTCTATAAACAGCCCAGGATGAGTTGGTTGAAGGCCTGTATTTCACTGGGAGATAAAAGACAGAAGAGACATGTATCTTCAATAGTCTTTCCTTTTTAGCCTAGGGCGGTGCATAGGGCAGACGTCATTGCTCTCCTTGTCTGGTGGTTCACTGCCACCTGTTTTAGATCTAGCATGTTCATAAGGCCCATAGTTGAGCTATCCCTGATGATGGTTCTATGTAAGGTGTCTCTCTCTCTCTCTCTTTGTCGTCCCTGTTTTTCTTTTTCCTGCTGGTGTCCATATGAGGGCTTGATGGGGGAGTCTAGTCTTATTCATTTTGAGTGGATGACCAATGTAGTTCCAGCAGCGTTTTATTATAAAATTGGATACATTATCTTGCTTGGTCTCTTGCCTTATTTGCATACTGGATCTGAAATCTGTCCAGTAAAGATTTAGTACTGACATGTATCTAGGACAGATACAAATAAACAGCATCAGACAAGATCATATTTTTTACACTTAAATTAAAAGTGATTTTTAAATAATATTTCTAAGAAAAACTTATTTTTCTCACCGCCCTTTAGCTTTTCTCTTTCTTTTGAAGAGTTTGTGGAAGAATTGAGCTCCTGAGTCATCCTTCAAGCCCAGTTCAATATCGGTCATTGAGGAGAAGCTGCTAGCTTTGCTGCCTAGCATTATATCGGTTTCTGTAAATTCAAACATCCATATATTTCAACATCAAATCCATTTCTGTAAATTCACAGACCATAAATTTCAACATCAAATCTGTTTCTGTGAATTCCCCGAACCTATTTATGTTAATTTAAACATTAAATATTTTGTAATAAAATGTGCTTCTGTGAATTCATATATTATAGATGTCAGCATGAGATCTGTGACTAAGAAATTACATACCACATATTTCTGCATAAAATCTTTCTCTGTTTATTCTTATTCTTAGCGTTCACCAGATGTAAAGTCTGGCAGAAAGTTCTGGTTGTTCATCCACTTCTGGACTTTGGTCTTGACCCATAATAAGTTTTGGATGCATATCCATATTACAGATCTGACTTATCTGTATGCAGACTGCCTATTTTTTGCCTCTCAGGCAGATGCACTGCAACTACAAAACAAACTCCGAATCAGTCAGCTCTTTTTCAACATTCTCTATAGGGAGGCAGTGGATCCACCCCCCCCCCCACCCCCATAATGAATGGAGACTCAGAACCCACACTGGGAGCATTGCAGTTCAAAAGCCCCAATTTTCTTCCTTAAATATTGAAAGATAGTTTGCGACTCACATTCGTAAGTTGCTAAAGGAAAGATAAATGCTCTCAAAATTTGACTTTGAATTGCTAGCTGGTGCACAGCTATAAGCTTTTTAATGTACTCATTTCTCTGCAGTTCTACAAGCAATTAGGAAAGGAACTGATCACTTCACCTTACCTGTCAAACCCTAGAACAGGTGAACACTTCATACTGACAGTAGTATCTGATATCGATCTACCGAGACTTTTTCAGTAGACTAATACTTCACATTTTCCGACTGTTTAACATTTTCCCTATTTTCCTGCAGTTCAACCCATATAATTTACTGCTGCATAAAATATTCTTCTTCTTCATGCACCTGAGGAAGTATCTGCACTGTGTCAATTTACAGCATGGCTGCAACATTTCTGCCTTTGGGCAGACACATCTGACTTCTTCAGGCTTGTGTTGTTTAGGTTAGCCTTTCTGGTTTATATAACGTTCTGCTTACCTTTTTCCAATAAACTAATGTTTGTTAGTGCGGCTGTCCAAAGTATTTGCTATAAGTGTCCTAGAAACCACATATGTTGTAACATAATTATTTGCATATATTTTAAAGGAAGTTACAAAGAAACTTCAGTAACTGTCAGATATTAGTGGTTTTACTAAGGAATTTTACATTCAGTAGTTTGCCATTTCTTTCTGAACAGTTCAATATTAGAAACACTGTCAGAATTAATGCAAAATAGTCTGCTGTCAAAAAGCTTGCAGCTGACTTCACACCCTGGTATGTCAGAATTATAAAACTGCATTTATTGTCCCTAAGTCACAGGCTCCTCCACACACGTGAGAGTCAACAGAGTACAATCAAGACTTACCTTCGCCAAGTGAATATAAAGACAGAGCTAATTCATCTACCGCAGTTGTGAAAGTTGTTGAAGTCTGATCTCTGCCTGTCTCAGAATTAGTTATAGATGAAGACTCAACGACATACTTGTTGCCGACCACAAAATTATCATCTGACATACTCTGACAGACTTCTTCAGAGCCTGTGATCAATGAAGTTGTAAAAGCTGTCGAGACTGAGGCCAAATTCAATGCTGCTGTTGTAGAAATGGGTGTCAGAACACTAGATGCGGGCAGAAAGTTACTGTTATCTAGTATTGCAGGGCTAGTGTTTGCCAATACATTCTCAACCTGGATGTTCAGGAATGAAGAGGATCCATTTTTCTCTGAATTAATTTGATGAATTAACCGTTTCCTAAAGCCCTGAGGAGCTGATCTTGATTTTAAAGGAGAGGTGAAATCTGGGATTGTCGCTAATGCCGTCGGTGACTTTAGAGGTGAAGTTAATGATGTTGACGATAGCGATGAGGATGCTGTCAGCAAGGGCGATTTGGTCAGTGTATCTAAATCATTGATCACTTTCTGCAGGTCAACATCTGCGCTGCCACATTCCATTGTGTTTACAAAGGAATCCATCAAGTAAGTATCCATAAAATCACTCTCATTATTAGCCTGCACATCAGTCCTAGATGCCAACTGCACACAGTTTTTATTTAAAACTTCCTCACTTCTAGATCGATGAACAATGCTTTTCTTAATAGGTCGCTTAACCAAAGGCGTAAAAGCTTCAGCATCAGCTTTTAGCTGAACTGAAGGAGTGGATGAATATTCTGTCCCGGTTTGTGATGACAGGCAGGTCGGTTTCCCACATTCTGGCTCAAACAGAGGGTTGGTGTTTGTGCAGGTAATATTAAAATTATTCTCCAGAAGAACACTTAAACTGTCAGACTCATTTATGGAATCTGCCTCAGTATGGTGGTTAAAGTCTGTCTGAGGATTAGACTTAATAAAGTCTTTCTTCTTTGACATTGTTGAAATAGTTTTCTCTTTGGAGTTTACAACCGCCTTCTTCCTTTCAAGACCTGATGCTAATAAAGCATAAGAAACTGGAGTTTTCATGACACCTCTAGCTGTCCTGGTGCTGTAGGAATGGACTGCCAGTTTTGCAGCTGCTGCAGCCGCAGCTATTTCAACAGTTGTGCGGGCAGATTTCTTTGGGATCATTGGCTGTTTGCTGGTACAGAATAATTTCTCGCACACAGGCTTGTTTTCATTTGCAGCAACATCCTGGGGGACTGAGTCATGTTTATTATTATCCTCTGTCTTGACATCTAAGATGCTACTGTGAGAAAACCTGGACTGCGGAATATCTAACCGGTTGATGTCTCCACTGTTTGAACCAAAAATCATGCCAGGAAAAGCACTGGTGACTTCCTTTCCACTTACAACTTCTTTCTCAGTGATCTTCACCTCAGTCTGATTTTCAGTCTTGTAACGTCTTTTTGGAGACAGCCATCCTTTCTTTCCAACCTTACAACCAATGGGGCTGTCAGTGACTGTGACAGATTTCCCAAGAAGCCGAGATTTTGAGGGAGACACGGTTTTCTGCTTTGTTTTTTTCAACATAACCCATTCCTCCTGACTTCCTTCTCCTGCCTTCGATGTTGATCTGTCTGTCTGTGTGGCAACTTCCATTGCCCTTGTACTGTAAGATGTGTTTGTACCCTTGTCTTCTGTACTCATTTCAGTGCTGGTAGCTTGTTCTTGCATCTCAAACCTCTGAATGGACACAATCAGCTGTGGCACCTTGATCTGCTCATTGGGAATATGAGCTTGCCACATGAATTCTGTGCAGATGTCCTTCAGAGTTGGTACCCTTAAACTACATGCCAGCATGTACAGATCTAAAACATTACTCTCACTTAATTCAGCTCTTCCGAGATAGATGTACACAAGGAAAGCCATCATGGAACTTGACTTGATCCCATCGTAGTTGACCACTAGTAAGACGCTATAATGTTTTGTAGTTTGTGAAGTCAGATTTGCAGTTGACGTAGGTGCCTGGTCTGTGTAACTAGGCAGCTGTGGCTTCATCTTTTGCAACAAAGTTGTGAGATACTGGCTCATAGAACACAGCACTACCTGATGAACCTAGAGGAGTGAAAACCCAGTCTGGTTAATATATGAGGTCATGCACCAAATTTTTTGTTATAGACAAAAAAGTGTATTAATGATGTTAAAATCAAAAAGATCAACTACCCTACAGCAGATTTGATCCAATATGGCTCAGTCTATGACTCACCAGATTGGTTAGCTCTAAACCAAAAGCACTGCACAGAGCATGAACTTCACAGCACCAGTGACCATTTCTAGGGTTCTTCATAACAACTGCAAACTGCACTTACGAACCATTTGACACTGTCTATGAAACAAACCCACTACCTTAGGAGACCTAGGCAAATGGCTTGACCCCTTTACCACTGTGTCCACCAAGTGGTTAAATTTTTTTATCTTTAAAGTCCACTCAGTGGGATGTTGGTTGTCAGTCTATCCATAACCTTCTATCTCGTGTACTTTCACTCAATTCTGACAAGAGATGATCTTCCATGCCGTGATGTCAAACTGTCCAGATTTTCTCTCTGCCTCTTTTCCTCTCCAGCTTTTCCACAATGTACTTCAGATTTCTTCTTCTCCAAAGAATGTAGATTGTTTCCTTTTGATGTGGGAAATCAGTTCTCTTCGTTAGTCAATTTCGTTTAAGACATATTCATTATACGAAAATATACAATCTCAAACACTAAACTACTTCAAGTCACAAACCAAGAATAGACAGTATAATGACAAAAAAGAAGACAGAAATGGCTTGGCCATGTCAAGAGAATGAATCACGATATAACTGCCCAAAGCCAAAAGAGCTCTCACTGACACCAGAGGAAAAGAGAAAGAAGGGGCACCTAAAAACAACATGGAGACAAACGATGGAAATTGAACTGAGTGCCGCATCTCTGACATGGAAAACTGCACTGAAGACTGCACAGGACAGGAAGGCATGGAAAGTCCTCTCTGAAGCCTCATGTGCCACTAGGCATAAAGACAAGTGAAAAATAAAAGATAAAGCTAGTCTCACAACACGGACTACCATTTAGGTGTGAAGTGCTTAGCCTTCACATTTTCTAAGCCACCATATTCAAGGTGGGTTTTATGACGGCCGACTGACTGACTTTCTACCCCACCAGGACATCACACAAGCGATAAACACCCGATGACACAACGTGCCACCATGGGGATGAGGATCGCCGTGGGGAGGTCCCAGAAACCGCGTTCAGACATTTGGCCATATTTATGGCCTGCTTATATTGCGGCCCCCGGCAAAAGCCAGGGCGGAGCTTCGAATAAAAAAACTTATCCTGAAAAGGAGGATAGAGAATATGTGGGTTTATTTGCCTCATCAACTTTTATTCCCAGAACATTCAGAAAAATCATCTGGTCTTCTTGTTCTTCCCTTCCTATTTGACTGCTATAACATCAGATAAATGTTTACCCGTTAAGAGTGGTAGAGGTGTCTTGACGGAAGCACTAGCATACAAAACCTGCAGTCTTTCTTTGTCTTGTACTTGTTGAACAGGTGTATAGTAATTTAATCCAGTCCGTTTCTTGATGTTGTCATTCCAGGTTCTTCTTTCCCTTTCTCCTTTTTTTTCGATTATGTTCCTTGAAGTATAGTCTTTGCAATCGAATCACGTCTCACCTTGAATTCGAACAAAACCAGCTTTCAACATTTCACCACTAAAAAAAAGAGGCCCTTGATGTCCTTTTCCCCGTGTGGGCTCCTGGGGCCCCATTGTGGTGAAAACAAGAACAGATCCACTGCCTGCCCAAAAGCATGTCATAAGAGTAGACTAGCTAGGAGCTTCTTTCAAAGTCGGAGTACATCTGCCTGAGATTCAAGGAACCAACAGTCTGGATGCAAATGAGTCAGACCTGTGAAACAAATGTGCATGCGACACTCAGTTTCTGGAACAGGACTAGAGTGCAGAAATAGACGAACAATCAGAACTTTCTGCCGGAGTTTACAGCTAGAGAATGCAGAGAAGAAGATGTCCAAAAAATCTGTTGATTTTGTCCCTTACAATTTTTTTTTTTAGGTTTTATGTTTTAAATAGCTCAGTAACAACATGTGTCTATAGTATTTATGTTCAAAAGCCTTAATCCTGTTTTTCACTTCCACAGTGAGAGTCCAACTCTCTCATCCATACAAGAAGAAAGACAGTCCCAGTAATCTGTACATATTGACCTTAACTACTACACTGATTTTGCTCTTCCACGTCGTATTCAGCTGGGGCAATGAGGCCATTGCCATATCCGCTTTCAATTCTGAATGCCGAATATTGAATTAAGAATCTGCATCACAGCACTCAGGACACTCCCATAAGCGCTTGGGATATTCCAATAAGTGCTCCATCCCCATCTTCAGCAGTAAGCACAGAATTGCAATTCTAAGGTACCAGTAGCAGTCTGACTGCATATCCATCTCACCTTTCCCTTGAGTTCTAACCAGATCCCCAGGTCACACCTCACAGAACTCTTCTCCTCAGACCACGATGATCTATTTGTGCCTCTGCACACTACTTTGGTTGTCAAAGGAGATACAAGGTTTTCTCTTCCTAGCTCTTCTGGCTACCTCGAACAAAGATACTATTATCTTTCCCTTTTGCTCTTGGGCTACCTCATGATCTACATCCCTCTCCTCTTTTAGTGTACATCTCATATGGTATGTCATTACAATGTATTCTCTATAAGTGTGCAAACCACTTTATTTGCTGTCTTTGTATATAATAAAGTATTGCTTCTGTGGCAACTTTATTCTTGTATGACTCGATTTCTGAATTTATCTGTACTGTTCATTCCTGAAGCTTTCTCAGACATCTCATATCCTTGGTTACTAATTTCTTTTTTATTCATATGGCACTCTTTTTTATAAGACTGGCTCGATCCTAGAACTGTATAGGTCAGAAAATACAATCCTTGGTAGGAAAATGCACTAAACTTCATGCCCCTGTGGCTCTTTTTACAATAGGTAAGTAAAATATGTGATATAAATTTTTCAAAAGAAATAAACGATAGCTTTATTTGGTGAGTAAATTAGAATAAATAAATAAAACATAACTTACCACTAGCACATTCTCTCTAGCAAATTGTACATGAATAATACACATGAATATCAATGAAACAAATGTACAGACCACAGATATTTTGGTCCAGAACCCCCAGAAAGTGATCAAATAGCCTGAAGTGTAATGTATGTAGCTGAATAAAGCAGTTGAGACGAGATAAATATGCAGCAAAGGACACAATAATGTTTGCAATATTCAAGATAATAACTGCTATTTGAAAAAACCTAGGGGAAAAAAAAAACCTTTTTTTTTAAATGTTACAAACCAAAATAAAATAAAATACCTTTATAGTCTGTTTTGATGTTGAAAGCACTGCGTCACAAAACTGTTCTCGTTTCATCATGTCGTACAGATTTTTGCGGGAAGAAATTAGAACTTCTGTTTCTTGCTTGGCATAGACGTTCTGGCCTAGTTCAGTTGAGGAGTGAATGGTAGCATCGTCAGAAACAATTGGGTTGTGTAACTTTTCACTGACTAAATGCTGGGGTTGTTGGGGTTCAAAATCCATAAACGTCACATCATTTTTGGATCTGTTAAGTTCCAGTGTGGTCTGGCCCCCACCACCACCAAGTATGCTATTGGAAACAACGTCATCCAAGTCAGATTGCTGAGTCTGATAATGAAGTCCACTGACTTGGAATTGTATCTCAGAGTCAGAAGTGTGATTTTCATCCAGGATGGAAGCCAGATTATTGGTGGCAGAAAAACAGGAACCCTGAGGTGTGGTGCTTTTTAACGATGTTGAACATGCTAGTCTTTTGAATATGTGGTAGTCAAGTTCTGATGTCATCTGTTGGGCTAGATTCTGCTGGAGATCACGCTTTGTAGAAAGTGTGGAAACCATGTCAACTTCTAGAGGTTGATGCATCTGAGCCAGTGGCTGATAGGAGTGCACCATCTGCAGACCATCTGAAGGCTGTTCTGGCACTGAAAGATGTGAATGGTCTAGGAAGCTTCCAACAGAATGATCCACCATGAAATTTCCTGAGGATGCAAGTAATTGCTGATCTGTCAATCCTGAGCTCTCAATGTTATGCTTGTTTTGAAAGGTCTTCTTGGGACTTGAGATAAGACCTTGCATTTGTTGGTGCTGTTGATATTGCTGCCTCTGTTGCAGTTCCTTGCGCCTTTCTTCTTCCCTTTCATCATCTTGAAGCCCTTGCAAGATCTCCATGGCCCTGTTAATATCTCTTGGAATTCGAATTCCTTTTAAACTCTCCTTGGTGGAAGTTTTGGTTAACTCCTTCTGTAGTTCAGAGATTTCACCTTGCTTTTCTTTGCTTGTTATAAGACTGTGACCTTTTTCATGTCCCTTAAATGAAGTCAGAGTTTCTGGTATGGATGACTTGTCCAAGGGTGTTTTCTGATATACTGTCATATCTTGAGGCATATCAGGTCTCTCGAAGTAAGACTGGCTTAAATCTCTCTGTGTTTGAGGAGTCATATAATCTTCAATATTAAAATCACTGACAGAGGCATTTGAAGCATAATTTAAGTCTCTGGTGGTTGATGTTGACAATTTTCGACAAAAGGTTAAGTCTCTATCAGAAGCAGCACTGAAATCCCTGTCTGAAGTGGAGGCAAAATCTTTGTCTGATGTAGAGTTGAAATAAGCTTCAAAACTTAGTTCTGGCTGTACATGAGATACAATGCCAAGGTTATCAGGGAGAGATAAATCTGCCTGATTCACATGTGGAGTATCTCCCGACGGATCAAAAGAGAAGTCATCTTGATTTGAAACTGGGTGTGAACCTTCTAAGCTAAAGTCTTTTGAGACTTGCAAACCAAAGTGTTGGTTCAGATCTAAATCCTTTTGAGACTGTGAGACTGATAATGATGAATGGAAATCGAGATCCAGCTGAGCTGATGGAAGAAACTGTTGACTGGCCAAAAGGTTGGAGGTGGCATCTTTGTGCATAGATGATGCTATGCTGTTTGAATCAAATAAGAATGAATTTGAATTGTGTAGCAGGCCAAATTCTCTTTGAGCAGTATGCTGTCTATTTTCATTTTCTTGTCTTCTAGAAATAAAATTTCTTTGCTGATGATGGTTTGTTCTCAAGTCTAGCTCTTCTTCTACGGTAAGGAAAGTTCGTGAACCTGTTAAGCTTTTCTGAATATTTTGCTGGTACAAATTTTTATCCTGAGAGACTGATTCCAGTGCAGACACTTGCTTTGAAAAAGAAGATTTATGAGAATTATTTGCTTCAGCGATTTGCAAGTAATTTCTATGATCTTCACTACCCAGCAAACGTGCCATCTTTCTATGTGCCCTAGGTCGCCCACTCCATTTACTACTGTTGTCTTTAAAATTTGTTTGATCTTTCAGGTCAAAACGGTTAACATTTTCATTTCCTTGAAATTCACCTGACACAAAGTTTCTATGGCTGTCCAATGACATTTTCTGGTGTCCTCCAAAATCTTCATACCCGTGAAACACTGGATCCAAATCGGATGGCAAATCACTCAGCTGGTGAGTGAGTAATGACTTCTTTTGTGAACTGCTCAATCTACCATAGGCATCATCAATATGGCCAGTGATTCCAAAGTTCAGACAGGAAGACACTACTCGTTTTGAATCTAATGACAAAGAACTACTTAAAACACTGCCGTCTCCGAGTTGTGTGGTGGTGTATTTCTGAGAGTCATGACCCTCTTGGTCTTGTGTTCCTCGAGCAACAGATGTCACGTCCAACCTGGCAGATGACATGAAGTCTCGTGAGTCAGAGGAAAACTCAAAGCTGTTATCAAAAGCATTTGAATCTCTACGATCAAAGGGCAAAGACATCTCTGTGTTCTGATGCTTCTCTGCTGACTGGTCATATAAATTACTCAAGTCTTTGCTGTAGTCCTGTTGTTTACACCTTTGCTCAAAATGTTTCTGGAAAGAAATGTTTGAAAATAACTTCATGTTAATGCAATAAAATGTTAAACAATGTAAAAGATCTTAAAATATGAGAAGCACAAAAATAAAAATAAATGTAGAGTTTAATGTCGAGTAAGGCTATGAAGATATTTGTCCTTTTCATTTTGCCGTGCTATTTATATGTCACATATGGTTCAGTTGATCCCCCTATTCTGTTCTTTCTTGTGCAATCCATTCAATATCATATCATGTATGAAATCTTTTCAAGCCTTTTTTGACCTCTTTCATCAACATTCATCATCAAAGGTTTTCTCTTTAATCTCTTACCTTCCATAAAATGTTTTCTATTTCACTGGCCATTATGCAACTACTTTGTCCGCTTGCCTCAGAATGTGCCCAATATATATCACCATCTTCTTTGTTTTATAACCAGTAGGTTTTCCTGCCATTTTGCTGTCTTCTTGACGTTTTTTCAATCCTCCTATTCAATATCCATCAATCTCCTCAAGCATTTACCAAACATTTCTTGAATATTTAAACTACTCAAAACTAGATTTAGACATCAAAGTTTATATTGTCATCTCCATACTTGCTTCTGCAATACATCCAACATAAGCCCTTACTATGTTCTTCACTAGCTTTTGTCTTTAGTTGAAGAAATTATAATTTTTCAACTTTTAATACAAGTCGACCGTGAAGATTAATGCATATGCTGAATGGTCATTTTTTTTTTCTGGTTGGTATTCTTTAGATATTTTCTCCAGGAAATATCAGTGTATTAGGAAATTTTTTCTTCTTCTTCTTCAATCCTTCTGTCAGAAAACTAATATCTTGAGGCTGATAGCCTTTATGAAAGCTATCGTTCAGTCCATATCCTCTTATGTACCATACAGTTTTGTCTTCATTGTGGTTGGAAAAGGTCAGACTGCATCTCTGTTGTCAGCATACAGTTGACAGTGTTGGAGCACATGAACAGCATTTTCAGGTGCCAAGTTGCAGGGGTACGTCTCTGTGTTTTCCTACACCAAAAAGTTTCAACATATGTTGGCGAAGTCTGTTGTGCCCCGCCCTTAGCCTGAATATAATACACTGTGCATCTCTAGAGAGGCGATGAAGCGATCTTGAGAAGAGAATTTGGTGTGTGTATTCAGACACCTTTCTTTGATACGAAATACAAGGTTCGACAATTAAGTAGTGAGACTGATTTTATTATGGCCAAGACAAAAAATGACATCTAATGAAGCAAAGCTTGGAATCTAAAGAGGAAACATTGATCTATGATCTGGCAACTTTTCATCGCCGCTCGATAAGCAGACAACAAACAAGCTGGCATTTTGTTGACCTAGTCAGAGGTGCATTGTTACGTAATCAGCACAGAGCAAAAAAAAAAAACTAACATTAAATTCTTTTTAAAACTTAGAAAAAGCAACATTGAAACAGTTCAATTGAATCAACAAGTTTATGGGGACAATTGTTTATCTCGTGGAAAAATTTTTCAGGTGGTATATACGATTCAGAAATGGTGTGGAAATGATTACACCTAGACCTGGATGTCAGATTTCTGTTCGTATTTGATGAACTCATTGCAAAGGTCAGAGAACGGATACAAGAAGATCATTGTTTTACTGTGAGGATGATGGCAGATGAATCTGGTGTTAACAGAGAGACCATTCATAGCATTTTAGTGCAAGATTTTGGCAAGAAAAAACGTTGCTTGCCAGTTTGTACCACATTCCTTGTCTGATGACTAAAAACATCAGTGGGTTGAGTACCCAAAAGACATCATCAAAATAAGAATTTTAGCACCAAAAACAAGTGTGTGTTCTCAGCCTTTCGCCTTATTCCCCAGATTTGTCTCCCTGTGATTATTTTCTAATCCAAAAATTAAAAATACGATTGAAAGGGCGCTTCTTTGACGATACTGAAGACATCCAAAGGGCAGTAACATCAACTTTAAGGGCAGAAGAAACACAGAGGTTGTTAAAAAAAGTTTGTTAGATCATGCCACTTGCTGTATCAATGCACAAGGGGCTTACTTTGAATAAAATACAGGTTATACCTTCAACTGTTGTTTATTTTAATTTTTATGGAATTAGTCTCATTACTTAACTGTCGGACCTTGTAGTATTCATGTCTTAGTCATTCGGTGGGTTAAGTCACTTAACTTACCTCAGCAGTCATCTCCTTGTGAGATGCAATTTTTCTCTATTTTGAAGCCCCTACCCTGGCTCTTGCCAGGGGCCGCAATATAGCCCGACCATAAAAATGGTCTAATGGCTGAACGGTTTCTGGGACCTCTCCACAGTTGATCCTCATCCACATGGTGGCACTTTGTGTCATTGGGTGTTTATCGCTTGTGTGATATCCTGATGGGGTAAAAATCTACTACTACTACTATTAAGTGACTATTTCGTTGTACCATGTCATTGCCGCTTCTAGCCAAACTGTCCGTTATTTCATTGCCTTACAAGCCAGAATGACCTGAAATCCTGAAAAACCTAGGTGAATGAGCTGTTGCGTCAAGTCTAAAAACTGAGTGTCTTTTTGGTTGGCAATTGCTTGTAGAACTGACACAGCATCAGTCAAAAAGACCACTCTGCTATATTTGCTGTGCTGTTGTCCATTCAGGAAAAAACATGCCACCAGAAGTGCTTCTGCCTCTGCTCTGTAATTAGAGGAGTATGAACCTGTTGGTACAGCCTGGTTGATTTTAAAACCATTTGGGCATTCTATGTATATTCCTCCTCCTCTGTCTCTTGGCTGAACTATCTATATACATTAATCCAACTCTGGTGTGGATAAAGTCTGTTGATCTCTCCATCTGTAACTGGCTTCATATCAGTGCTGCTCATTGATGATTTGGAGGAGATCCCTGTTAAAGTGATTCTGACTGTTGGCAGGTTATCCTAAGCCAAGTGGAGCAGTGGTTGTAAGGTTTCAGTGGAACATTTGGAACTATGGAAGGAAGTTTGAGGGTCAGTGACCTTGACATCTGCATTGTTAATGAAACATGTTCTCTTTAGTCTAGCCCTCTGGGGTGTCAGCTGTTGGCTGTGCATAGGTTGTTTTTTCAAATGGTGGTATTTGGAGAGCTGGTTGAGGAGCTTTGTGTCTCTTCTGTCTTCCAGAGCATGGAGACCAGAAATTGTTTCCATGTCTGATATGGGTATGGAGTGCGTGGCCCCTTTCATAATACAGAGAGCATGGTTTTAGATCTTTGAGATTTTCTGAAAATTTGATTTAGCTGCTGTGCCCCAAGCAGCTATCCTATATTCTAAAGTTGGCCTCACATATCCAGTATAGGTCCTCTTGAGGACACTGAAGTTTTTTCCCAGTCTGTTATGGCTAACTTCCATATTAGCTGAGTTAGCTGAGTCCCTTGCTCTGATTCTTTTCTGTTTTCTCCATGTGAGTCTTGGGTCAAAGGTTACTCCTAAATATGACGGTGAGTCATCATGTATCAGTGCCTGGCTGCCATATGTAAGCAAAACTTTCTGGGGTTTGGTGGAAAGACTGAAAATGATGTGTGTAGTTTTGGTCCCATTTACAAGCATGTACCAACTATTGGACCACTTTTCTAGACTCTAGAGGGAATCTTGAAGCCTTGTCTGTGCTGCGCCAATATTCACCTCTGAGCTCAGTAGCACCAGATCATCGGCATACATGATGGCTTGAACTCCATTACTGATGGTTGATTTTATGTCATTAATATACATGAGGACAAGACTGAGGATAGAACTGCTCCTTGTGGAACTCCATGTTTCAGTGTCACTGATCTGCTCCTTTTCTGTTTGCGGATGATGCAGCCATTGTGGCACATTCAGAGGATGATCTGCAGATCCTGATGAATCGCTTTGCAAATGCTTGCAAAGAATTTGGGCTTACCATCAGTCTGAACAAAACACAAGTGATGGGATTGAATGTTTAAAATCCACCAAACATTAGTGTGTATGACCATCAGCTGCTGGCTGTAAATGAGTTTGAGTACCTAGGCTCACGTATCTCAGGCAATCATTCTCTGGATGCAGAACTAAACAAACGTATAGGAAAGGCCTCTGCTATGTTTGCAAATCTCACAAAGAGAGTCTGGTCAAACAAAAAGCTAACTGATAATACAAAAATGAAGGTTTATGCGTCTTGTGTCCTGAGCACATTACTGTACGGCTGTGAATCCTGGACTCTCTATGCTCCACAGGAAAAAAGACTGAATACCTTCCATATGCGCTGTCTGAGACACATCCTTGGTATATTATGGCGAGACCTTGTCTCCATCGAATGTGTGCTCACAAGAGCAAAAATACCATCAATGTATTGTATACTGAAGCAAGGACGTCTGCGCTGGCTGGGACATGTCTCCCGCATGGAGGATGGTCGTATTCCAAAAGATCTCCTATATGGTGAATTGGTAACTGGGAATATACCTACAGGAAGGTCAAAGCTGCGCTATAAAGATGTATGCAAACGTGACCTAATAGATACCAACATAGGCACATAGACATGGGAAAAATCAGCTGCAGATCGACTACTATGGTGACAGAAAGTGAAAGACAGACTGTCACATTTTGAAAGAAACCGAACACAACGAGCTGTGGAGAGGAGACACCGGAGAGTAAAACTGCCTCACAACGAGGGAGTATCTGCTTTTGTGTGTATCCTGTGTGGCAAAGGCTGCCATTCCAGCATCGGACTTTACAGCAGATGCTGTTCCCAAAGCCAGCAGCACATCTCCATAGTCCCCCGGGACTGACGGATGCCATTACATTACATTGATCTGCTCCTTGAACCCTGTATCCTGATTCCTGCAGTTCAAATCTCAAGGTATTTAACAACCCAGGAAGGAGACTAAAGGCCAGGAATGCATGAACAACTAGAACTTCCCATGAGTGTTTACGGCCTGGGAACATTTAAAAAAAAAGAGGAAGAGATGATGACATCATCTTTTAACTCATGCAGACCTGTCTCTGTCCTATTTACAGCAAGGATTCTGTGGTGTTTTACATATAATAAAAAAGACAGAATACCTATCAAAGTATAGATTTTCTGATTTACCTCAATTTTTTTTGTTTGTTGCTTACATGCATTGTGGCCCATTCTTGGATACCATATGAAAACATACAGACTGGAATACAGACACATCTGCACATAATACACAGGGATGCATACACAGATGCATATGTTCATAAACATACGAACATACATTCATTCACAAACACTAACATACATAAACATACACATATATACATGCATACGTACAAACAGATATGCAGGCATGCCTCTCTCTGCCAATACACACATACATACAATACACACGCATGTGCATGCATGCACACACACACACACAAATCAAGAGATGATGTGGCAGACAGACAGAAAGAGAACAATCTTCATTCACATTTGTACAAAACTTTTAAAGAAACAAGTTTTTTTACCTGATCCAATTGAATACTTCGACTTCCCAACTTGCCACTGTTATCAGAAGCAGATGTTAAACTGAGCATGTGATCATCAGTGTAATCAGTGTGTGCAAAGCTTGCAACCATGGCATTTGACGCATTCATGTGAAGAGAATTTGAGGTAACATTCAGCCCTGTACAACCAGCATAGCCAGAGTCCTTGTCTCCATAGAAGTTAGTGCCTGATCTTGAACCACAGGTCTGGTCGTAACACAAATCCGTACTAGTGTCTAGATGCATATGTCCGGTTCCATGTTTGAAACTCACTGCCTGTAACTTTTGCCACCGGTGAATAATTATTTGAGATGCTGACAGAAGCGCAAGAATTCAAGGATCTACTGAACAAGTTTGAGCCATTACCCCGCGTCGAGGACTGGTTAGTGGACATTCTGGCGCCATAGAATCGAACATTCGCCTCATTATCAGTGAGTGCATGGCCAGAGTTGATGCTCGTGTTGTAGCCATCAACAGGAGAAATTGGGGAAAACTGACCTGCAACTTCTGTAGCTGCAGAGGTCAAGGCGGACCAGTTGTGGAGCTGATTTGTGGACAGACCCATCGAAGCAGAGGAGCTGTCAGGCTGAAGAAATGTCTGGGAGAGGGACAGCAAAGAATTTGTGTCTTCCTCTTCTTCCTCTTCACATTCCATTTTTACAAGATATCTGGCATCAAAACAGTCATATCACGCAAGATAAATACTGATCTGTCACATCTGTTTTGAGAAAAAAAAAGTAATATCATAAAGATAATATTTCACAAACATGAAAAAAGAGACATCAAATTATGTTCTAAATTATGAAAAGAATATAACTAAAGCAGTTTATAATTGGAAATATTTATTTAAAGAGAGATAGAGATGTATTTGAAGATTTATTTAAAGATTTATTTAAAGAGAGACAGATTAATTTAAAGAGATATGTATATATTTATTTAAAGAGAGATACAGATGTATTTAAATATTTATTTAAAAAGAGATACAGATATATTTAAAGATGTATTTAAAGAGAGATACAGATTTATTTAAAAAGAGATACAGGTTTATTTAAAGTGTGATACAGAATTATTTAAAGATTTATTTAAATAGAGATTCAGATATATTCAAAGATTTATTTGAAATGAGATACAGATTTTTTTAAAGACAGATACTAATTTATTTAGAGATACACATTTATTTAAAGAATTATTTAAAGCAAGATACAGATTTATTTGAAAAAGAGAAGGTTCTTAACAGGCAGCTGTCATGGCATGGAGAGATCAATAGTCCTGTCAGTGTTAATGCCAGCTGGCAAGGATTTAATGTTTATTTTATCTGTTAAACAGATTTACTTCACTTATTACATTTTATATTATATTGAACTGGGTAAAATGTTGCTCATGAAAACATTAAAGGGCCTTTTTTCACATTAGTGGCGTATTGGGCACATGATGATTGCCTCATATTTTATAGGCAAATCGGCACTCGATGGTTGATGTGGTCAACATCACGCCACCCGACTTTAACTTCCCAGGATTTGACCTGGTACCGACTTTAGATCAGGTCAACTTGGGAGCCAAAAAATTTTCTTCTGCACAGGCTGTAAACTCTGGCAGAAAGTTCTGGTTTTTTGTCCACTTGTGGACTTAAGTCTTATTCCTGAATCTTGGTGTTGCCTGCACTATGACTTTAAAGGAAGGCCCCCCCCCCCCCCCCCCCAAATAGTGGACTCTTACGACATGCTTTTTGGGGAGGCAGTGGGTCTATTCTTGTTCTCCCCACAATGGGGCCCCGGAACCCACACTGGGATTTGTAAATCTTACTCGGAGATTTGAACCCAAGACCTTCGGTTAGGAAAATATAATACATATTTGGAGTGCAGAATTTTTTTTTTAATTTTTCACAGATAAAAAAGATGTAGAGACACAGGAACACAAAAGGAATTCTACTAGGAATGAAAGAAGGAGCATTTTTAGACCATTGGCAGCACATCTGACAAAGCCTGACACATCCACACCCATATTTTTTTATAGACCAATCGTCTTTTGATGGGTGATGTGGTCAAAATTACACTGGACACCATTACTTCCCCAGGCTTTTCATGGTACCCATTTTAGACTGAGTCAACCTAGGAGCTTCAGGACATTTATAAACAGCTGTCTAGATGCAGATTCAAACTTAAGAACTTTTGTCTGGCCGGCAAGCATCCAGCTGCTGTGTTATTCAGTGGGATCAGAAACAAAAAAGTAATATTACAATAAAAAAAGTCAAAAGTATAGTCAAGAAGGTTGACCAAAAAAAAGTTCCTGCATCTTTATGTTGCTATAATATGAGCCATGGTAGCGTAACGGCTAGCCCCACTTGTTGACTGGAACTGATTCAGTCTCTATAAAAGCGGGCAGTGAAAGAAGAAAGGTGAGGCATTTAGTTTAATTACTTCTAGAATGATGATGAAGACAGCAGCTGCCACAGTGCCACTTGCACAGCTGCACTGACAGAATGAACACGCTAAAGAAGATCCAAACTGGCAAACTCTGAACATACTTGGCTAACAGCATCCAAAATTCCTACCTCAAGAAACTATTTGGGCTGTACACATCAGGAGATGCTGGGGTGAAAGGAAACGAAAGAAATGACAGTCTGGCCGCTCTGCAGTATGTTATGTAGGAAAAAGTCTGGACCAGGCAGATAAACTGAATGTGCTGTATTCCAGAGACACAGACAAAGCAGACAGGGAGGATGAACTGTGTGTTGAAAATGGGTGTTAACTCTTTAAATGTCAAGAAACGCATCATATGTTCATAGGTTCCTATCTGGAAGCCCAATAAACACAGATGCACTGACTTTACGTCTCTCTTGACTAACCCTTGGGTTTCTGATGCTGAACACCCATGGAACTCAAAGAGTTAAACGAGGAAAAGCATGCAGAAATTGGTTGCGGCCCAAAGAGAGAATATGTGACAATCAACTCCTACTATCTGTAAATACAGTTCTGATCTGAAATGCTAGTTACCATTAATTAATTTTTAAAATTTTATTTTTGCATGAATAATGGTTAATTATAATAAAAGATTTCCTAATTAGCTCTTGCTGCTACCTTCACATTCTGCCACCAAAACTACTACCTCCATGTTATTGTTTTGCCTCCAGTTTTTATCTTCACATTTTCTCCAACTGTAACAATGGGAGTGTTCTTGGTTACATCATGCAAATAGAGGTATAGTTTGTATCTCTTTAACTGAATTTTTGAATTTTATTTTGGCAATTTCTTTTTCCTTTTTTTTAACCATTCCATTTTTATTGTGCATGTATAAATAATAAGCATATATAATATGAACTCACATATAATTTCATTCAGACACTTCATTGAGTGTGGCAGCTCACTGGACTATAGGCTATAAGGTATTTTCTAACTATAGCTTGTATCTCAAGTAAATCAGCTGGCACAATGAGCCTCTTTTCACATGGCTTCTGTTATTCTTCCTTTAAGGTATTAACTAGTCTTTGCAAAGCTTTTTTTTCTTCTAAGAAAAGTACATGGATACACTTTCCTTTTTTACGTGTTTTAAAGCTATTTTGCTTTTAAAAATGATTTGATATTAAAAAATTTCCCCACCCACCCACTAAAGGTGTGTCTAGTAAGTACCAATCAAAGGGTAATTTATCGTCAGTAACAGATAGTTAAAGTAGTATATAAGTATAATAGGTGTGAAAAGAAAATGGCCTAATTGTGATTATAAGGCATATATAAACGTGAACACACATACAATAAACGTGTTCTCTTTTTTTATATCGCCTCCCCCTCCCTAGATTAAAGTGTGTGCAAAATATATAGTTTAGAATGTCCAAAAGTTACTGATAACAGAATACCAAGCGAGATTTCAGGCACTGGAGAAAAACAAAATGGCCTCCCCGCTTATAACGGCTCAGATACTAGCGAAACAAATGAAATACTTCTTCACACTGAAGCGTTTTTAAACCATTCCAGACAGAATGTTTACACTTACAACTCACAAATTTATGTTACATACCATGCTGCTGCACTTGCAACGGTCCTGGAGACGGACATGTCACAAAACAACACAGGATTGTTGTCATCAAGACACATAAACAATCTTCGCTTGAAATAGACCATCGCCGAAAAAAACATAAGGGTCAGTGTGTAACCTTGACCTTGTTGGTGATTATGATAATGATGTTGACGACGTTTCACAACATCACACAAACGATGAACACCCGGTGACACAAAGTGCCCGCCATTTGGTTGAGCATCACCCTGAGATAGATTCTTGAAATCCCGTTCGACCCATAGGCTGGGTCATATTATGGCTCTCGGCAACAGCCAGGATGGAACAACAAATTAATTGCGTCCGAGTTAGCATAACTATAACATTGATGGTTGCAGTAGCAATTTAAATAAAGATATCTTGTTTAACCTTTCTGGTTTATAACTTGGATATATAAAGGCTTTTTTTTTTCATTTCACTATATGTTATCCAGTTTCGTTCTTTTAAGGACGAAATTTTTTTGGTATTTGAAGCCCCATCCTGGCTTTTGCCAGGGGCAGCAATATAGACAGGCCATTAATATAGCCAATTGTCTGAACGCGGTTTCTGGGACCTCTCCACGGCGATCCTCATCCACATAGTGGCACTTTGTGTCAGTGGGTGTTTATCGCTTGTGTGATGTCTTAGTGGGGTAGAAAGTCAGTCAGTTAGTCATTTCACTATTAGCATCTTATGCTTGTCAGTTACTTTTGATTAATTATAATTGCTTGTATTATGTTTTCTTTTAATCGTTCAGCGACTGGTGGAAAGTTATGGTTACTTCTTTTTGTGTTTGTTGCTGAAACTGAGTTTTGAGTTTACATCTGTTTTACAGGCCTGGCTTATTTTTATGTAGACAGCTGGTTCCTCGCTTCTCAGGCAGGTGTACTCCAGCTTCAAAGAAAACATCCATAATTAGTCGCCGTTTACAACATGTATGGGGGAGGAGGCGGGGGTCCATGGACACCGAAACTTGGGTGGCTGAAGTTCCTTGAGGTCTCCCCCAGCCCCACAAAAAATTGGGGGAGGGAGTTAAGCTTAAACTCTTTATTGGAGGCGCCTATTTTAAACACTATTCCGGCGACTTCGCCTGACTTAATTGGCATACAAGCTTACTTTAATTACACAGTCAAGTCCGTGTCGTCCAACAGCTCATAGAGGACAACTCAAGGGATAGTTTGTGATTTACTCTAGATCCCAGATATAAATCGTTCACTATGTCCAGCTCTTCGCCGTCAATGTAGACTGCAGGTCTGTCATTATCACCTTGCACCATAACCTTTGTCTTCTTTTTGCTGAATGTTAGTCAAAATGCGTCAGCAAATGCAGACAGTAAACATTGCAGCTCCTCCTCTGAGTGGGTGGTTATTGTTTCATCATCTGCAACAGCAGCTCTCTGATCAGTACCTTTCTTATTCTGGTTTTGGCCTTCAGCCTACGAGATCGAGAATGAATGAATATACCACCTTCCTGATCACGAAAGGTATGTTTCAAGGATGTGAGAAGTATATTCCAAAGAGAGTAGGAGCAAGTACACATCCCTTTTTTACTCCATTGTTGACTACAAACTCC